CAGCGCAGAGATGGTTGCTTGGATGCTGAAGTTGACTGGAGTGGCCGACCACTGACCCAGCAAGCGCTAAATGGATAACAAGGCAACTGTGGGAAAAGAGCAGCAATCACTTCATCACAGCCACAGCTAGCACCATGTGAGAATACAATATAGTCAGTCGTCTGTGTTGAGGTAAGAACTACAGTCCCTGCTGTGTTGTTTTGCTAGCCCAAAGTGGATCATGGCATTGTAACTTACACAGGCCCGTGGCACCGACTTTGGAGGTGGGGCGGCCATGGAAGGAGTGGGGGTCCTCCCCCGGGAAAGAAATTCAAAATTTGAAGGAAGGTTTCCAGGCATTTGGTGCCATTTCAGTGTAACAGTTAGTGCAATGAAAGACTTTTTTGATTCTGCAACAAACCAAGAAGACGCTACGATCGGGGACAAACATTACCCTCCCCGGGAAAAAATTTCAAAAATTGAAGCCAATTGCTAGCATTTCCAGGCATTTGGTGCCATTTCAGTGTACTAACTGCAATGAAAGACTTTTTTGTTTCTGCAACAAACCACGATTGGGGACAAGAATTTGCCACGTTTGCACTGAGCTGCGATCATCGCGCGCTTTGTTGCAGTGTGCTCCAAAAAGCCGCCAAAAAAGTGGGGCGGCTGAGGCCGCCCCAGGCTGTGACGGCCTACTTCGAAGTAGAACTATGTCAAGTAGGCATTGGTGGATAATCCTCGAAAAGGTGGCAGATTCTGCTCGAAAAGCAGTGAAATTGGCAGAACCATACAAAGCTTATGGCGGGCAATTCCTCGAATTCTGCTCCATTTCTTTATCCACATACCAAACATGCATGAAACTTACCAGAAAAAGTACCGAATTCTGCCAATTTTTCTGCCGGCATTTTCGCATATGCCTAATGTCAAGAGCATAACAGCCCCTGGCATACATCAAGAGACTGGGTATAATTATAACCTCACAAAGTGTTTACCTACATGAACATTGTACAGGGCTGCTCAGTGAAATCCAGTCGCATCACTCACTCGAGTTTGCGCATTGTACCATTTCGCAACCCGGTGTTTGCAGGTCCAGGGCTGCGCAACGCCTGCCGTGTACTTGAGTGACACGACCGGTTTTCATTGAGCAGAGCTGTACATTATACCATCAGCGCTGTTCCGGGAGAATTTTAACTTGAAGTCATTTTCATGATGTAAAAAAAGCACAGTGCGCACATCATAATTATTTTCAGACTCATCCTAGGCCAGTAGTTCCCAGACACATAACCCTGAACAAACTTGTGCCAGCAAGCCCTTGTGTGGGGTTGAGACTTTTGTACCAACAAATACCGTTGGGGCAGCACTGCACGTGGGAGTTGCACACTGGAGGGGGAGAGGGGGATCAGGGGAGGTGAGTATGTACTCTTGCATGTCAACATGCGGAGAGAGAGAGAGAGAGAGAGAGAGAGAGAGAGAGAGAGCGCGAGTGTGTGTGTGTGTGTGTGTGTGTGTGTGTGTGTGTGTGTGTGTGTGTGTGTGTGTGTGTGTTGTAAACTACAGTGCTATTCAATGAAAATCGATTGCGCTGGTCAAGTAAGCGACATGTGCTGTGCTGTGCAGCTCCAGACCTGTGAACACTGGAATCTGCAATGGTGCAGGGCACAAACTTGTGTCACGTCGTCTGATTGCACTGAACAGCACTGTATATTTGGAGAGCGATCACAATGGTATCAGGGCACATGCAGGGGAACGTTGTATTGGACATCCCATTACTGTGACCGTCGCTATGGGGGTTCCCCCCCCCCCGCCAACACGTTTTGCCTGTGCAGATTTGGACTCGAATTTTTCGGCGCCTTGTTAACTTCATATGCACACGCGCCGGGACTATCGCTGTAGCGGTGCACAACGCACAACATGCAGAGCTGCTGAGCCCATGCTGTGGACAACATGGATCAAGATAGTAGCGGATTTTTTTGTCTGGTGATTGCCTTTTGCCAAAAAGCTTTAAACTTAGTGGCTGTCCACAACTATCAATATTAATTTTTCTATGAACGTAAAATCGTTTACATGATTCATTCATAGACAACTTGCCTACACTCAAATAAGCACTGAAGTTCACACATCAAGTAATAATTTCACTACAATTTCAAAAAGGAGTAGAAAGCACACGAGAACGAGTTATGCAGCAACTATCCACGACAGTAAAAGGATGATAAAGAGTCAGAACGTGCGATAATAGGGCACAAAACTGACAGGCTAATGAGACATTCAGCGACCTGCGACCTAGCTGTAACACATCTCCAGTGCGCAAACCAACAGCAACAGCAGTTCTCATGTGTTTTCTTCTCTTTTCTACATTTATCACTGGCTCAGTATCCGAGTTAGACATTAAAATTTCTTTTAAATATTTTGGGAGGGTAGGTCAAGGAGAGTTTTGAATCAAATTATTGATAGTGGCGGACTGCCTAAATTACTTTTTAGCACTGAAGTCACTAGAGATTTTGACAAGGCCTTTCACACCGTTACTCTTCAAGGCTAATACTTTGGAGTAACTTGTTTCAACCTTGTCCCCAGTGATCTTCAGCTGCCAACTCAGCGTATTGAGCATATTCCAGGCAGTCGCCATATTTTTCATTGTTTTAGGGATTTTGTACTCGATGTCCGTCCTGCAACTACAGTGCATTCACAAAATTTAATTTAATAATAATTGACTTCTGGACTTTTTCTAATCCAGAGATCAATTACCGCTAAAGTCCAGAAGTACCTGCCCGAAACAAATAATCCCCTTCGTCCTTTCGACTCTGTCTGTTGAAGTCCAGGTCAGCCTGATAAACATACTGCCTGAAATAAGGACCGGTACATTTCGCACCTGCAGCGCTTAGGATGTACATCTACATGAAAGATGAGACATGGCTAATGGTAATAGTGGCGACTTTTCTTACCCAGGTTCAGTGGGTCGGTCGCCTGGCTATATACACACTATACATAATGTGACATATTTATCATTTTGATCAGTGTACATGACTTGTAGTGATGTATCACACTAGACACACCTATGCACGGCGACTCGTGTACCTGGGGCCGTGGGGCTTCAGACCTGTCAAGTGCCGTGCATGCACCATGTACATGTACATCTACACTTGCTGCGTTGATGTGTAGATCTACCATGCATGGTGCACAGTGCAATGCGTACATGTGTACATGTAGCAGCGTGCGATGTGGTCGCGGGAGGGTGGCCGTCGGTCGTGTCGAGCGAGTGGTCGCCTTATCCGAGCTGTTTTGAATGTGAATGTGTCCGTGACAAGGGAAAGTGGTCGCCTTGACAGGTTTTACCGTACAGTAAAACCTGTCAAGGTGACCACTCGGATAAGGCGATCACCTGTCCTAGAAGACCACTGAAACCAGGACCACGGGATGCCATTTCCAGTCAAATGAACCTGGATAAGGAGACCACCTTGTGACTGAGACCGCCTTTTGAAGGTCCCTTGAGCGGTCGTCTTAGACAGGTTTCACTGTATGAGATTGGGAAACTATGCGACCCTCAGCACAGGGTGGTGACACCCTTACCAGATACCGCACCGACGTAGCTTTCAATACACTTCAGTAAAATCACACAACTATTCACGAATACAGGTCCTCCCTTAGTATAACAAGTCCGGTTAGTACATAAACCCCGCTAAATAATAGAAATCTGAAATCCCTTGGCGAAACCCGGTTTTGCTATACAATACTGGCACCGTCCGTAATGGCTCGCCACTCAACACAAGTCTGCCATTCAAATCTCAACACGAGTGAGCAGTGTTTGCCACACTCAACACTTAGCGGCCATAAGCAAATCAGTCAAATCGCCACGATGGCATTATTCGCGCTAACTCCTTGGGAATACCTGATTCATGCGAGTTTCGGATAATGACAAAATCCCCGCGAATGTCGATATGGCTAGAGTTGAGAAGCCGCGTAAATTGATCATCGGGTAAAGTCCTGGGCAAGCGTTCAGCACACGCTGTGTACGTAGAGCGACTAACTCCCCTGAAGCAGAAGGAGAACATTCATACAAATCCCCACGCCGCTACTTGTGCAATTTCCAGTGCGAAGGATCACGGATCGCGCTACAAGATTTTAGCTTTAGCGCTGTTTGTCACACCTGGGGTTTCTCAGTACTAGCACTGTAGATATCTCGCCTATATAATTCACACGAGGTTTCGAGCTACAAATCACACCCATGGAATTTTCACAAAAATCAAGATGTGAGACTTCCAGATCTAGTTGTGTCTTTTAGCGCGAGTAAATCACACCCATGGATTTTTCATTCGTCATGAGGTGTGAGTTGAAGATGTGAGACTTCCGACTTCTTTTAGCGCGAGTTCTAGCGCTATAAATCACACTTGCAGATTTTTTCATTCATCATGAGGTGTGAGTTCTAGCGCGAAAGCTACTCTTTTTTTAGCGCGAGTTCTAGCGCTGAAATTCACAAGGTATAAATTTCAGTGTCAGAACTCTCAAACTCGCGCTAAAAGTCCCCTTGGATTTTTTCATTCAGTGTGAGTTGTTCCAGTGCGAAAGCTACTTTTTATTTTTACGTGTGACTTTTAGCGCGGATTCTAGCGCTGAAATTCACGAGGTGTCAGAACTCTCAACCTAAAAATGAAGTCACACCTAAAAATGAAGGCGCGAACTTTAGTGCTGGAACTCATACGTCATGATTAATGAAGTTTCCTTGGGCGTGTTTTTAGAGCTAGAACTCACGCTAAAAGACACACTGGAATCAGCGCTGGAACTCACACCTGTACCGTGATTCTTACTGCAAATCTCGCGAGAATTGTCCTAGGTGTGAAATCTTATTCTCTATATTTTAGCGCAAATGCAGGTGCCAAGATACCAATTCTACGCTTTTACGAGCTTTCCTTATGAGCCCCCAACACGTGAAAGATAGTCCGAACCCCGAACACCAAACCATAAGGCACGCACCAAGGCAGGCATGTCTCCAGAGTTCTGTCACTTACTGCACAGCAGAGCTGTACTCGTTTGCAAGAGAGTCCCTTTATGGGAAAGGTTGTGACCCTGGGATGATGATCCGCGGTTTACAAGCATGAGCATCAGAATGGGTTCGGCTCAAAATCAACTGGATTAGAGAGGGGGAGTGAAACAAACTAAATTTTTTCATTCACGCTCAAGAGATTGTGCCCTGGACGATAATCAGCTAAGATACATCTCTGCAAGTACCTAAGATACATCCTTAAAGGCATGGTGGACAACATCTCATGTGATAAGAAAATAATGGAGAAAAGGCGAGTCGTAGAATTTACGGAAGAAACGAACCAGAGAAGGGAATGGATACTGAAACCGGGTCGCCATAGAAACAGCATTTTTATCTATTGTTTTTTTACCTCAGCTCATTTATATGCCTTCTAATGGTCTATGCTCCAAAGCTGCTTATCAGCTGACTCATTCTTCTCTGGGCTTCTTCCCAAGCTGTGATGATGCAGCGAATTATAGGCAGAACAGTCACGAAAGGCACGTACACATACACACACAGAGACACACACAGACAAAGGCAAACAAACACACACAGACAAAGGCACACATACATACACACAGGCACACAAACACACAAACATGAGTGCCCATTCCCACCGCACACATCAACACAGTAAAGGCGAAATAATAATGTAGCAAAAAAAGAGAACGAATAGCCTGGCATGTAAGCACGTACACACCAGCGGACCATATGCACATGTACACGTGCACACGCGCACCTTGAAAGTATGAACCCTGGAACCAAAAAAGGTGGCAGGTACAACATTACGCCTCTAAGCAGCCAGGCCTGTTGGCAACAGACAGACAGATAGACACACACACACACGCACACGCACACCCACACACCCACACCCACATACACACACACACAGTCACCTTACCTGCACGATCTTCTTCAGCTTGAGCAGCTCTCCTACAGCAGGTGTCTGTTCTGGCTTGCTCTACCGTCATCTCTTTCAGCTCAGCTGTACAGTCCGTTACATTGCCTGTCAGAGTGTTGATATGCTGGTGTAGGTCTGGATCACACAGAATACATGTAACAGAGATAGGCAGAATCAGTGCATCAGTTCAACTGTTGAACATGCTTAGTGTGTGTATGCATTGCAAGTCAGGGGCGTCGGAAAGTGATTTAGTGTGGTACGGTCAGCCATCTGAAGTACAATTTACTCACGGAGGGAGGGGTGGCTGAGCCGAAAATTTTGGAAATTTAGAGCCCAGATCAGTGCATTCTATCGAATCACGGGGTGCTTGGGGCAAATAGTGGTGCGGTCAATACCGTAGTGACCGTATTGTGTGCAATGCCCCTGCAAGTACACTAAAACCAGCTGCTGGCGTAGGTGTGGATCACACCAAGTTGAAGAAATACTGTAAAAGCAGAAATTTTCCGTCGTGTGATATTTTCGGTATTCTCCAAAATCGGAGGTTCGGTGGAGGGAAATTTTCGGTAAACCCGTTTTCCAGGTATGTGTACTAGCGCTAGTACTGAAATTTTCCGTGCGTTCTATTTTCGGTAAACATTTCGGCACCGAAGTTACCGAAAATCAAACACCGAAAATTTCTGCTTTTACAGTAGACAGACTCTGAATCAGAATCTGCACTTCAGCTCGACCTTTGAACCTGCTCAGAGTACGCACTTCAATTGCAATAAAACCAGCCAACCCTGTATCAAGCGGAATCCGGCTCAGGCCCGCCGGAACCGGTCTGGATTGGTCAGGTTAACACCGGACCAACTTTGTAGCTACCTGTTGTGTATCGGTAGAAAGACTTTTCATGGCTCTTTTTGTTGTGGTCCTTTCGTTTATTTTGGTTTGTTTTGCGTTCTGCTTTGACTCGTATCCTGGCGTGATCGCCAAATTTTGTGCACTCGCACATGTTGTCCAGGCGTCAGGGGCCCAGCCTCCCTGCCCTCCGACCCGCCACACACAACAACGAAACTGAACTAAGAGTTCTACATAATTTCTTGACAAGACGGAGACAGACAGACAAGAAGACCGGACACGACGAGGTAAACTGAAAACTGAAGAAAAAGACTAACATTATGGCAGCATATAAGCATGCGCACAAACAAAACATAACGCATGACAATGACGTAACCGTTACTTGGATCACGTACAAACTATACATGCAACCAAAACCAGTCAAATACGAGTCAAAGCAGAACGCAAAACAAACCAAAATAAACGAAAGGACCACAACAAAAATGAGCCATGAAAAGTCTTTCTACCGATACACAACACTACCAGCGCATGTTTACTGCTGAGGAGGGCATATGTCCCCGCAATACTATACACAAACTGTATGAAAGACCATGGTACGACCGGACCAATTGAAAACAGCTTCCGACGGTTCTGATCCTGTATTGACCGGAACAATTTTCATGCGCATCTAACTGTCATATCAGAACAGTTTCCGCTGAACCAAGGGTGTACGGTTAGGGCAAGTTTTAATTAGTGCTGCGCATCATGCCCTGCGGTAAGAGACATGGCGTCTCCACAGTTGGTTCATTACGAAAAGACTGGTGTTGAATGCGTGTCGTGCAGTACACCCCCATGCAGAGATCTTTCTTGTGCACTGTCCCATCCTACGGAAGGGGTCGCACTGATGGCTCTGCGCTCTCACTGGATACACAGGTATGCCACAGTCATGGTCAAAGAAATCCGACCTGCGAGACAAAAGTAGCGCCGCGTTTCCATTTTAATTACATCATGCATATTCCCAAAACTGTTCCGATGGTCACAGGGGCCCGCATGTGGCTTGGCGCTGCTTTCGGCACGTGGGTTGGATTTCTTTGGCCACAACTGTAGTTTCAAGCTTCCTTCTACAGACTACGAGACGTTCATAAAAAAAGCACCACCGTAATGTGACCATCTAGCTGATTCCTCCCAAGAGAAATACTGATTGCTTAGAAACTTTTGGTATTCTGGAAAGTTTGGAAACCCCCTCGATAGGCAAAAGTCTTTGGGGAATCCTTCAACAATAAAAAAAGTTACAAATTACAAACTAAACCATGAATACGAGTACAGATAAAATGTTGACATGGGGAGATCACTCAAAGTAGAAGTCAGAATCAGACACATAATGGCAGGGAGAACACAATGCAAGAAATACTGGACTGAAAGACCCGGATTGAAAAGAAACACACACTTACTGGCGACATTGATCTCCCGCGCCTCTAGCTCCCTGACTTTGTCTTCAAGTTCTTGTATTCTAGCGGCTTGTGCTGATACCACGGTGCGGAGGTTTTCTACGAAAGAAACCAAATTGACAATCGGCGGGAAGTAATAATTTTATTATAGTCAACACAGACAGGTGATGTCATTCGATGCGTTCCGGTATTGCTGTGCATAGCTGTGGGTGGGTGTTTTGTGGGGTGTGGAGAACATACATTTTCTGGACAAATTCCAAACCAAAAATAATCTTAACCGTCCACCTCTCCACACTGCACTCTTGGCCCACATTCACCACACCAATCCATAGCGAGGAAGTTCGTCCTCGGGTAGATGTTCCATATCGTCTAGACAGCTGTTTCGCTCATTAAGAGCTCCTCAGTCGAGGTAGATAACGAGTGAATAGTAGATAAACAAGAACGAATTTCCTCGCTATGGAGTGATGAGGTGAATGTAGGCCAAGAGCACAGTGTGGAGAGGTGGAAGGTTAAGATTAGTTTTAAATGGCCGAGTTTGTCGCTACTTCTGAGTTAAATTCCAAATAAAGCAGGGAAATATTGTTGACTAATGACAAGGTTAACTGCACATGTGCATGCCTATGTCGGAGACCCACCCAACCTCCATACCCGCCTTGATTCATGGGAATCCTTTGAGATGTGAATACACCCATGCCTCGCTTATCCAGGCGGTCCGGGACCGAGCAATGCCCGCATCACCGAATCACATACAGTTTGATTTCAGAAAGGCCATGTATATGGCATACGGCATCACTATTTCCACAAAAAGTGACAAGGGTAGTAATATTTCCACTGAAACTGATCCGAAGGGTGTCCGGTGGCAAAGTGCCCGTAATTTTGGGCTCCGGATAACCAAGCTATGAGTGTACATTCAAATTCATGTTCAACATGGCAAGCTGATTCCGATTATCTCGTACGGGTGCCTATCAGCGCCACCCTAGGCACTGCAAAATACATTTGTCCGGATTTTGATTGTGATTCATGGCGCATTGATTCTACAATGCGTGCATCGTGTTTGGGTTTTGTGCACACGGTAAATCGTATAATGAAACATAAATACGTCCGGATTTGGCTGGCCAGAATTGTGCGCGGCGGCACGCTGATTCTACTGTACGTGCGTCGTGGTTGGATTCTGTGCATACACGGTAAAGCGTAGTATGCAAAATACGTTCGTCTGGTTTCGGCTTGCCGGAATTGTACATGGCATGGATTCTACTATGCATGCATCGTGTTCATATGGCGCAGAATATTCCGGCCCTATAGTTGCAGATCTCCTGAATACCAGCATCACCCGAGGCCTAGACTTCTCGAGCGTCGTCGTCGGCCCAGGCGTCCTAATCCCGTTGGCCAAACCAAACAAACCCCGCGGACCACTCACGAGTTTGAGACCGATAGTCCTACTCAATACAATAAGGAAAGTATTCTCACTCATGATACTGGCACGGATATCAACAGCAGTATCAGAATTTCTGGGACCCACCTCGTCGGGATTTCGAGCTGCAAGGGGAGCGAGTGATGTCGTGTTCACCCAACGTTGGTTATCGGCCAAGTCACAGAGGTACGTGTGGGAGTGTCATGCCTTGGGGCTAGACATGTCAAAGGCATTTGACACCATCAACAGAGCCAAGCTCCTGGATGTTATGAGCTCGTTCCTTGGCCGCGATAAAGTCCACATGATACAGCATCTTCTGTATGGCACCACCATATCTGTTCGTATGTGCAGCTCCACTTCCAAGGCATTCCATACCACCATCGGCATGCCCCAGGGGGACAGTCTAAGTCCCGTGCTGTTCGTCTGTTACCTTGAAGCCGCCCTGCAAGAATGTCGCCCAAAACTCCCACAGCGACCTATAACTGATGGAGGCATCCCTCCAGAGACCGGGTACACTGATGACATAACGTTCTACTCTACCAGTAAACCTTGGCTCGAGGAATCACTACCCGTCATATCCTCGACACTGCAGTCTTGGAACCTAAAAGTAAATGAGCAAAAAACGGAATGGGTGCACTTTACGTCGGGCGATTCATCCTGGCGGAGCATCAGGCAGCTTGGCTCTCTTAATTTTAAGGGGGGGGGGGGGGGGGGGCGCTGAGGATATCGACAGGCGGATTTCGCTGGCATCCCAGGCATACGGTAGTATGTTCAGCCTCTGGCTGCGACGCAAGCATGTGTCAGAAAGGTCCAGGCTCAAGCTGTACAGCTCGCTTGTGCTGCCTGTCCTCCTTTACAACTGTAAGACTTGGGGAGTACCCCAGGCAGTCTTTCAGCGACTGGACTGTTTTCACCGCCGACAGCTCAGAAACCTGGTGGGAGTGCGATATCCAGACAGAATTACGAATGAGGATCTGTATTCCAGATGTGGCTCGCAGCCACTGTCGGAGCTTGTTGCCAAGCGACGCCGTAGCCTCACTGGCCATGTTCTGAGGATGAATGAGCAGTCACCCCCTTGCCTTGCGATGTCCTGCTATTTTCAAGCGGGGTCACGTGGACGAAGGGGCCGTCCCGCGGCTACTCTCCCTACCACCATCATGAAGGACCTGGCAGGGCACGGCATCCCTTTGAAGAATGCCAGCGACCTAGAAGGAGCACGAGCATTTGCTGCAGACAAGTCGAAATGGAGATCAGACATTGTTTATGGATGAGTTTTTTGTTGACTGGAGACAGAAGCGGACTTGGCTTAATTTCAGTGTATTCTCATGCATTGTTCTTTGGCCTTTGTACGCGTGCTGTGGTATTATTATTATTATTATTATATGCATCGTGTTCGGATTCTGTGCACACGGTTAAGACTATCAGATTCGTAGCCGAGCTGGTGCAAACCTCCCGGCTGCCATTCGTACTGTATACAGCCCAAAATGCTGTATCCCTTTTGTCCGCACACACTTTGCTATCACCCGTTATGAGCCCTTATGCTTTCATCCCACATAGAGTAGCGATGTCATAGAGCACTGCGTTAGATTGCTACCACCTCGCATCTTTCTATCCTTTTCTCTACAAACAGAAAACCTCTTGCTCTTACCAGTGTCACTGTCACAGCTTTCCGGCATTGTTTCTCCAACACTGTCACCACCTGTAGTACAGGGGATGCAGAGAAGGAACATTGGGCACGTGTTACTTTGAATGATGTGCTGGTTTTGGGACATTTACTAAAAGATCATTAGCAATCGCAGATATCCCAGACATGACCCGGGTGGAAAGCAATGGGACATTTAACACAACTCGAGGACCACATCTGTACTGCCCTGGCCTTCACTCTGTACTGCTCTGGCCTTCACTCTGTGCTGCCCTGATCGTGCCACGTCATCCTCATCTTCACCGCATCGATAGCGCTGCAGACAGCGATAGTTTCCCTGTAGCCCTGAAACAAAGTCTCGTTGTGTGCTTGTGTGCATCCTATGCACCTGCAGAAAGACAAGTAGTTCTCACACTGAGTGCGTTCGATTATGCACGCGAATCGATCCACGAATCGATTCGCGCTATTCACATTACTCCATGTGAATAAAGTGAATGGATTCCGAATCGATTCCAGGGCTCATGATATGAAAATCGAACGACTCGAATGCATGCGAATGGATTCATGAATAGATTCAAGTGCATAATCGAACGCAGCCACTGAAACACGCAAAACCTGGGACTGATTGCCACCAGTCCTCACTGGGTACTTCTCTCACCTTGACCGCCGGTCATGGAGAGCTTGACTTCTTTCAGCCACATTCGCATGCAGCTCATCTTGGGCAGCGTGTAGTTCCTCATGGCAACGCCGATACGATTGGACGCCTTACACGTGTACTGGCCTGTGTGCATGCAGAAAGACATGAGACAGGCCATGCACCGTGTCATAAGTGCCTACAATACCGGTACATGTACATGTCAATATTTTATATCCTTCCTAATGTATGGTTGAATGCAGACACACACACACTGGAGACTCCCTCGATTTAGGATAAGGCCTCCTGTGGAGAATCCATAAATACAAAATACAAAATACACTGATGTACACAAATATAGGTATATATGTGCACGCACAAGTACCCTCAACCCACTCTCTCCAAAAGCGCATGTTTGCACAGGAATATACCACCACAACACACACACACACACGCACGCACGCACACACGCGCGCACACGTGCACGAAAATACGGTACTTAAAAAAGACCTGCACTCACCTGCGCTCCGCTCGGGAGAGCCCCCGCACATCTTCAGGCCTTCCCTGGTCATCCTGTACATATCAGGTATCGGAAAGTCAGCTCCATCTCCATGGTAACCATATCCTGCCACCATGACCCCGTCGCGATACCAATGTAGCCGGGCTGGCAGAACAGAGGAGCCGTCTTGGCGAACCTGACACCTGAGATTCAGGCAGCCATCAGCGCTCTGAAACACTGATGATGATGTCATGCCAAATATGATCCTTGGTGCTGTACAACTAGAGTCACGGATGGCTGCAGCAAAGACAAGGACAACAGATGTTAAAAGTAAATGGGGTCAAGAGGAAAATGAGAGGGATTCAGCTGCACAGGACACGTAGAGATATCATATAAAGAACAATTGCCTGGGTTAGAGTCTACGGCTTCACATGCTTTGGGTCAAGAAATCGACTCGGAGATGAGGTTCACTTTCATGACCAATGTTGATGATCTAAGGAGAGATTCCTAGACTCACCGTTTTCGTCATTCCCCATAATCCAGGATAACTAATCTTGTTCTTAATCTTTTCTCCCTTTCCATCGTCATCATAACATTGGGCATGATTGCCCGTTTGACTTGCGATGTAAAATAAAAGCAATACAGCAATACATACTACGTTATGGCACGTGCAAAGAAAACACGAGCAGTTCTGCCGCATATCATTCAAATTAAGGAAAAACTGTGAAGTTCGGAATGACAATTTCCCAGTACACATTACAGGTGATTTGACTGACTGAAGAAATGAATAGAGCAAACAACCTAGCTGAGTTGCTATAGCAACCATACAGACTTAAGTAAGCTACGCATTGTGCAGTACTGCCGGGTGCCAAAGAGCTGGGGGGGGGGGTCAGCCTCCTCGCCTTGGTCGTTGTTTATTTCATGTAGTACGGTCCATGCACAGTTGAAGTCACCGTGTATACAATGGTATCCGGTGCTTGGTGAAATCCTAGCCTGGTCGTTCTCCGGCACACGACAGTTCTGCACAGCAAGAATTGTAATCCTGTAATGTTACACATTTTTCGGCGTACTTATACTTTCGGTACATCAGTTTCACACGTAAAACTTCACCAAACAAACACTAGCACGCATAATCCAATAGGGAGCTGCTTCTCTGTACCTTAAATTTCTGTTGACCTAACCTGGCCTTTTGCCCTCACAACGAAAATAATTGAGCACCTAAAAATGTTCTGAAATTTGAGCACTTGCCTGTACAAACGGTGGTGGTGCTGGACCAGCTGCCGTTCGGCAAACACGTGATGGCTGGCGTGCCGGAGAGTCGGAAGCACTTGTCAACGCACTCGTACGTCGCTCGTGCGGATACTGTCGTGCTGTTGTAGGCGACCGTGCTGTTTGCAATCCTGGGCGGTGTGCCACAGTCCACACCTGCATGACATGGTACACAATTATCATGAAAAAACAAACGATACAGAACTATCCTTTCTCACTATCCAACCAAGAGAATATCAAAAACAAACAGGCGATTCAGAAAAACGCTTTTCTTAGTAACCGACCAACAACCGCTTTGGCCCGTTTGTAGCTGTCTCTACGTGTTCGTTTCAAGCCATGGCAGGAATAATGAGGGAAAGCTAAGGTGTGCAAGAATGGACTCGGACGGAGAGCCAAAGATAAATTCATAGAAAAGAAAAAGGACCACGGAACTACAAGTTGCGCTATAATGTCCACTTACACCACCAGTTACTAAACAATCAGCTCATGCGATAACATTGCACGGCACTGCCCGACGGTCCTGACGTTCTACAACTAACTGGCTAACAGCTCTAGCACATCTCGTATGCGCACTCCAACAGCCTTCCAACTTGGAAGGTTCTAAGTTATATGATAACTTGCAGGCAGGCAGGCAGGCAGGCAGGCAAGGCAGAGAGAGAGAGAGAGAGAGAGAGAGAGAGAGAGAGAGAGAGAGAGAGAGAGAGAGAGAGAGAGAGAGAGAGAGAGAGAGAGAGAGAGAGAGAGAGAGAGAGAGAGAGAGAGAGAGAGAGAGAGAGAGAGAGAGAGAGAGAGAGAGAGAGAGAGAGAGAGAGAGAGAGAGAGAGAGAGAGAGAGAGAGAGAGAGAGAGAGAGAGAGAGAGAGAGAGAGAGAGAGAGAGAGAGAGAGAGAGCGAGAGAAAGAGAGAGAGAGAGAGAGAGAGAGAGAGAGAGAGAGAGAGAGAGAGAGAGCCAGTGGTAGTGAGCGAGGAAAGTGGAGAAGGAGACAGATAGACAGACACACACATTCAGAAATGCAGACAGAAAAACAGATGCATGGAGTGCTGCAGAGAGAGGGAAATTGCGAGAGTAAGTACGGAGGATTAGCAAGACGAAATTCGCGGTCGCGTTCGCTCTCCAAGGAAAGTCGAACTCAGTGACGGAATTCGCGTTATGAGAAGGATTAGCAAACAGAATTCGCACATGCATGACGTTGACACGGCGTACATTGCGTACAGACAGTAAGCGTGGTAATTTTATGACTGCCCCGACACGAATCCACGATTCGTGTTCCGACTACTTTTCCGAACGAAAAATGCAAAAGTTCGCAATCCAGTTCGCGAACTGAAAAATGTTTGCGAACGCGAACGCGAATTTCGTCTTGCTAATCCTCCGTCGTGAAAGAAAGATTCTGAGCTACGCAGGGGTGCTGACTCACCTCTGCAGATAGCTCCAACGCCTTGCAATTGACCATCCGCACGGCACACCAGTGTCGAGCGCCGCACCAGCACATTTCCGCCGCCACACTCCGCGTCAATCCGGTCGTACGGCAGGGCTTGCCCCGCGAAATTCGGCCGGGCACGGTTCCCCGATGCATCGGATACAACTCTGTATTGTCCACGTGGCAAGTCTGGCACTCGACATTGTACAATTGCTGTAGGCACAGGGTGAGAGAGAGAGAGAGAAAATGAGCCAATTTACAATCGCACAGACGTACGGAATCCCGCAAAACCACTTGATTCCACTCTACCATATTTAAAAGGGTACTCTAGTGGTAAAGTGTTTAAACCTGGGTGTTTAAATTTTTTAGGTATGAGGGCAAAAGGCCAGGTTAGGTGACCACAATTGTTAGGTACTAAAGCAGTCCCCTACTGGATGACGTGTGTCAATGCTTTTTTCTTGCGGCCATTGACATTTCGGGGCGGAAAAAGATGCACGGAATAATAAAGTACACAGAAAGTGTGTGAAATTACAGTACTCCAGTGCGTGAGAACTTTTTTGTAGCATTCGCATGCACACATGCACGCACACACGCTCACATGCACGCAAGCATGCTCACACACACACACACACGCACACTTACACATACTTGCACGCACACACACACACGCACTTTCTCACACACATGCACACACACATGCACCCCTCCCCCCCCCCCCCCAACACACACACACACACACAAACACACAAGCGCACCCCCACCCCCTTTCCCCGACACACACACACACATTCACTTTCAGAACACACAGAGATTGTCAACAACACCAACATGCTCACGTTCAGGTTCGCAGGTAGGCTGCTCTTCAGTCCATGTGCCGTCACCCGTGCATTCTCTCCTGGCCGATGACGGAGGATTTACATTGTACCCAGTACTGCATTCCACCTCCACTCTACTTCCAACTGTATGTCCAGTGCTTAGTGTAAATCTTCCATTTCTCGGTGGTGTGAGTAACGGACATGACCGTCCTGCATAACCACAACACATGGTGTAACACAGAATAGTATATAGTTCTGTGCTTCATTTGTTTCCAAAAAAAAGAAGAAAATTTGACAAACAGAGACTCGCAAACAAACAAGAAAATGTAGCCGATAAATAGGATTATTGTCTCAGTACCAAGCGAGCATGCTGGATAGCAAAGAAGCTACTGACAATTAGCTTTACACAGCAAGCTCGAGAAGGGCAGATATCGATGCAGAGTGTGTAGTTTTGTTTGCCAAATATGTTTGCCAAATATAAAGGACAAAGACAAGTTTGAAACTCGGATGTTGAGCCATAAATAAATGTAGAAGAGAAAAGGACATATGGCGAGTTAAGAGTAACTCTCCATCACTGGAACATTGCACTTTATTGCACTTTATTGTGTTATTGCACTTTCTGACTGTATATAGTATCACGTTCCAGTGATGGAGAGTTACTCTTAACTCGTATCCATATGTCCTTTTCTCTTCTACAAAGACAAGTGCTATAGGTTTTTCATTTGACCCGACGAGACCACACGAGTCTTGCAAAAAAACTGCACAAACACACGTGGTGTGTGGCCGGCGAACTGTTCATGCTGATGTCTTCAAGCGTTCGGTGGTCTTGCCTGGCTAAATGAAAAAACACTATTCCATGAATAGACGGACCAAATGAAGCTGGCAGCAACAAATTGAAGACAAGTTTATGAAATGGCACACTTACGCCGACACTGGGGTGATACCCCCGACCACGATCCGTTGGGTAGGCAAACTCGCGTGACTGACTGCTGAGCGCTGGGGTGAAGCACATGCTGCTCATCGCACGTGTAGCGGGCCTCAGCTCCGACACTGCGCGACGGCACGTTGATATTGCCATTGACTAGAGTGCCAAGAGGTAGGCATCGGATGGCTAGTACACAAACAAACAAAGAATAACATTGTCAGAGACTAGCCAGAATACAGGGGATAATGTCCGTGCTAAGCGAGAGAGTACAGTATTTCCGGTTTGTTGGCTGACCACTCGGACAAGGCAATCGCCTCTCCCGGAGAATCCCTACAACTACTACTGGAACTACGGAGACCCCCCCCCCCCCCCCCCGATGTAGGCTATGGCCTGTGGAGAATCCATAAATACAAATACAAACTAGGACCCAACACACACAGGGCTGGTCGAGTCAGCTCCTAGTCAGTTTTTCCAGCCAAATGACCCTGGCCAGGCGACTACCTGTGCGGAGGGACAACATTTCGAAGGTCTCTTGAGCGGTCGGTCGCCTTACACAGGTTCTACTGTACCGTATTTCCGGGATTGTAAGTCCATTTCCAGATTCATAAAATTATCGTTTAGATACATTCACTTCAGTAGTAAGTCATGCTCGATTGAAAGTTGCACCACTATAGGAGCTGCATCTGTGCCTCAGATCTTTTCAGGGTGGTGGCGTTCCTACGGATACTGAGAACTCAGTCGAACAGAGTCTCAAGCGAACCGTGACATTTTTTCTAATTTATATTTGGGTAAACACGGTAGTTTAATGTCCGTCATCAGTACCTCTGCACTTAGCATCTTGCCAGCGACCGCTGGAGTCATGCCAACGCCCTCCGCTGCAGTAGCGCTGCACCCGACCGCCCACGGACAGTTGATGACCGACGCCGCAGGTCAGCGTAACCATGGTTCCCGATCGTCTCTCCGCCGTCGAGAGGCGCCCGTGAGTGGGGACAGCCAGCTCCGGGCAAAGTGCTGAGCAGCCAGAGGTCACAAACATCGGATTCAAACTGAAAATTAGCGTACTGTAAACCACCCCATGTTTGCGTCACTAAAGTTTTGCGATCTCTCAGAACCAGCGAGTTTGCGATGGCAAATGTTCGCGGAGCACTGTCGCCACACAAATACCCACTGTTGAATTTTGATTTCATGATGGTTAATATTTGCGTTCTGCTCTTCTCGCAAAAGTAGCAAACATTAATACGTCGCATACGTTGCGCAGTTTACAGTAAGAAGATTTTTTTGGCTAATGATCTCGCAAGCGTGAAACTCGGAGGTGCAATAAAAATGGTTTTGCCCATGGGTGGGGATAGCCAGCTCCGGGCATAGTCAGTCAACACAAGCAACAGATTCATACGTCAAATTAGAATTAGAATATTTTTTGGCCCGAGAATCGTGCAAAACCTGAAACTCTGAGTTGCCCTAAAAAAGCGGTTCCACCTTATCTGTACTTCAATAATAGAGCTCAGTGCTAACTAAGAGAATTTATTATTTTATTATTTACTAGAGCCACGTAAACCCTTCATGTGTGAGCCATGTCATAAGGGGAGTGGTGGCGTGGTCTGGGATGATTTTTATCACAGGTATAGCGCTTCCTAGAGCTACGGGGAACTGGACTGACTTGAACAAGGCAAAGTAACAGCAACCTGAAAATACAAGAGTGCTGCCTCTTGTCGTTGCCATAGAGGTTTCAAAACCAATGGACATGCCAGTCTGTAGTAGTGCGTGTCGAGCCGGTTCTACGGAAGGCACATGCCCAAGCCCCAAAAAATGGGGTATCCTTGATAGTAACCCATTCCGGGGTAAACAATCCGGACGCCCGGTTCTTTTACGGTAAAAATGATTATTAGCGGGTTGGAGTCGGTGGACGGGGTAAGACTCCAGAGTGCAAGCGAGACCCGGTACTTACAAACACAACGGAAAGAGTTCCAATCGCCGGCAATGTCCTCCCACATGGGTCCGTCCCTGCCGACGCTGCCATCAGAGCTGGTACGGTGAACGCACCGTCGCAACACCGGAAAGCCGGTGGACATCTCGTAGCCCTCGACGCACGTCATCTCGACTTGCGATCCCGTCGTACGCAGTTGCGTGGACAGACGTGCATTGGGTGGTAGAACAAGCGCTGAACACTCGCCTTTGAGAACAAAGATAGGAAACACACACAGACAGATATAGAAAATTGGAAAGCAATCCATCCAACATGTGTGCAATCGGATGCACATGCAGACAGACACATACGCACACACACAAGCACCCGTGCACGCACACACACAAGCACATACACACACACACACACGCACACATGTAGGCACCCCCACACACACACATATATACGCATAGCCACACATGCACATGCACACGCAATGGTGCTGTCATAATGAATCTCTCAAAGAGGGCTGACTCAACACTACCACACCTACATATACCTGTACTGTATTTAACCATTTGCAAGTCGACCTTTTAATGACCGATAAACCGACCTAAAAGGGGGTAAATGACTAACAACCGGGGTATAACTGCCCTTAAAACGGAAAATCGAGGCCCCAAGTTTGGAGGTCAACTTACAACCGGTAAAATACGGTACATCTCCTAGTCAAGGATGTGATCTGATTACGGAATTGGGCACAACACTGACCGAGGGCAGGCTCGTGAGTGCACTACCCTGTTCTGAGGGTAGCAGATGCTCAGCAACGTTCCGCTGTATCTATATGTGTGCTACCGGGCAGGCTATCAACCGTTGTTTCTCGCAGTTGCATTAATTAACACCATCGTCATACAGTATTATGGACTAGAGCCACCCTGGGCTAGTCACACCTTTCCTGCCGTGCATATCACAATTGTAATTCCTAGTACAATTCTCCCCCATATACTCCTAGGTACCGTACGCATCCACTATAATTGTCTTGTGATCGGTTCAATTGCCATGAAACTCACAGTTACAACAAAACAAAGTTCCCCACCATTGCGAACTTGTGTTCTGCTGTATTAGTGTTTTAAAGATTGGCATATAATCTCAATGTGGAAGCTTACTTGAAACGCATGTCGGTGGAATGGAGCTCCACGTTCCGTTGGCCGCACAACGCACAACGCGACGTCCCACCAGTGTCCGTCCACCAGTGCAGGAGTATGTAGCAGAGCTACCTGGACCCGAGCCGGACATGGCTATTTGTACGTAGGCAGGCAGGGCTGGGCGCTTGCATGCAGCTGGTAGTATGGGAGAGCAGTACACGGAATGAGATGGGAAAACAGTACACGGAATGAGATAGGAGAGCAGTACACGGAATGAGATAGGAGAGCAGTACCCGGAATGAGTTAGGAGAGCAGTACACGGAATGAGATAGGAGAGCAGTACACGGAATGAGATAGGAAAACAGTACACGGAATGAGATAGGAAAACAGTACACGGAATGAGATAGGAGAGCAGTACACGGAATGAGATAGGAGAGCAGTACACGGAATGAGATAGGAGAGCAGTACACGGAATGAGATAGGAGAGCAGTACACGGAATGAGATAGGAGAGCAGTACCCGGAATGAGTTAGGAGAGCAGTACACGGAATGAGATAGGAGAGCAGTACACGGAATGAGACAGGAAAACAGTACACGGAATGAGATAGGAAAACAGTACACGGAATGAGATAGGAGAGCAGTACACGGAATGAGATAGGAGAGCAGTACACGGAATGAGATAGGAGAGCAGTACACGGAATGAGATAGGAGAGCAGTACACGGAATGAGATAGGAGAGCAGTACACGGAATGAGATAGGAGAGCAGTACACGGAATGAGATAGGAGAGCAGTACACGGAATGAGATAGGAGAGCAGTACACGGAATGAGATAGGAGAGCAGTACACGGAATGAGATAGGAGAGCAGTACACGGAATGAGATAGGAGAGCAGTACACGGAATGAGATAGGAGAGCAGTACACGGAATGAGATAGGAGAGCAGTACACGGAATGAGATAGGAGAGCAGTACACGGAATGAGATAGGAGAGCAGTACACGGAATGAGATAGGAGAGCAGTACACGGAATGAGATAGGAGAGCAGTACACGGAATGAGATAGGAGAGCAGTACACGGAATGAGATAGGAGAGCAGTACACGGAATGAGATAGGAGAGCAGTACACGGAATGAGATAGGAGAGCAGTACACGGAATGAGATAGGAGAGCAGTACACGGAATGAGATAGGAGAGCAGTACACGGAATGAGATAGGAGAGCAGTACACGGAATGAGATAGGAGAGCAGTACACGGAATGAGATAGGAGAGCAGTACACTGAATGAGATAGGAGAGCAGTGCACGGAATGAGATAGGAGAGCAGTACACGGAATGAGATAGGAGAGCAGTACACGGAATGAGCCGCAACATTTGTTGTTGACTGTTAGTTTACTTCACCAATTGCACAGGCATGATTGCCTTCTCAACGTCCCCATTTGCACTAAACTAATGACCGGTCATCAAGATACACACCGGTGTGTGTGGCACTGTGACTGCTCTTCGGGGAATTGCGACTGCGCGGACTGGTCACGAGGGGGGGGGGGGGGGGGGCGTGATTGATCATGGGGCGTGATTGATCACAGAGTCCTACGAGTACCCTATTTTCCGGAGTACAGACATCTACCCTACTTATCACCAGTAATTTGACCCATTTGACCACCGTAGTATATGAGCGGCGCCTGTTTTTTGGGTGAATTTTAAACTGTTGTTTAAAATAGGGCTTTTATTCCGGAAAATACAATACATAAGCAGACCCGGCAAAACTGGTCTGGTTGGTCAGTCCGCGGCCGGGCCAACCTTTTGGGCACCGACGTGTGTTTGTTGCTGAGGAGGTCATATTTACACAATCCATAGAATACACTGTACAGGCTCGGCATAGATCTCTCGAAGGCCTTCGACACGCCACACCGCTCAGATCTCCTTAGCACGATTGTCAGCGTTGCTCCTACCACGCCGGATGTGCTACCCTTAGTCCACACTCTGCTGTCAGATACCACCCTTCAGGTACGTGTGCAGGGAAAAACAGCAACCCCTTTTAGGTCGAACGTTGGCGCACCACAGGGTGACATTCTTAGTCTGATTCTGTTTACATGCTACTTTGAGAGTGCACTGCGAGGTACCAGATCTGACTCCCCTCCTGACGACATCCTACCACCTGACCTGCAGTATGCGGATGATCTAGACTTCATCGGAACATTCATGATCAATGTGCCGAGACCCTCCCAAACCATAACCTCACCGTTAATACCTCCAAAACTGAACGAACAAAGATATACCTGGCTGATGGTCTGGAGGAGGCGTGGTTCCGAAGCATGGAGAAATGCAAAGTTGCTGGGATCACGGCTAGGCTCAGCGCAAGATGTCCAAGCCAGAAAGGCCCTGGCAACCCATGCATTCTGTTCGTTGTACGCACTCTTCAAGCATCAATCTACCTCACTACTGCTTAGAGTTGCGCTGTACAATACCTAGGTGAAGCCAGTGCTGTTGTAAAACTGTGCGACATGGGGTCTCACAGATGCCACCATCAGAGGGATTGACACCTTTCATTGAAGGCATCTGAGAACAATGGATGGCGTTAAGTTCCAAAACACAATTACCAACAAGCATCTGTACGGCATCAGCGGCTCGGCACCGATTTCGCTCGAGATTGACCAACGGCGTTGGGAGTTCCTCGGTCACGTACTGAGAATGCAGAAGAGCTCTCCCCCACAGAGCATGTTAGAGCCCTTTCAAATTTCGGCCTCCCAGGGCTAAAACACATTTCGGCTGCAACACATTTCCGGCCTGTACTGCTGCTGCCTGTATACACTGTCACACTGAACCTTGCGAAACAAAATTTTGGCTGCAACAGATTTTCGGCCAAATATGGTCAGGCCGAAAATAGCCGAAAATGAATATGCGCCGAATATTTGTAGACTTACGGTATTTGTACTTCAATATCATAGAGCTGCTCAGTGCTACCTGAGAAAGTTATCACAGGTATATTGCTTCCTAGAGCTACGGAGAGCTGGACCGACTTGAACAAGGCAAATTAGCAGCAATTTGATAATACAACAGCGCTGCCTCTTGTCGTTGCCATAGCATTTTCAAAATCAATGGGCATGGCAGGGCGTAGTAGTGTGTGTCGAGCCAGTTCTACGGAAGGCACATGCCCAGTCCCGGAAATGGGGTATCATTGATAGGAACCCATTCCGGAGTAATCAATCCGGACGCCCGGTTCTTGTACGGTAAAAAAGGATTTTTAGATTTTTGCAGTCGGTGGACGGGGTAAGACTCCAGAGTGCATGCGAGACCCGGTACTTACATACACAACGAAAAGAGTCCCAATCGCCTGCGATGTCCTCCCACATGGGTCCGTCCCTGCCGACGCTGCCATCGGAGCTGGTTCGGTGAACGCACCGCCGCAACACAGGAAAGCCGGTGGACATCTCGTAGCCCTCGACGCACGTCATCTCGACTTGCGACCCCGTCGTGCGCAGTTGCGTGGACAGACGTGCATTGGGTGGTAGAACAAGCTCTGAACATTCGCCTTTGAGAACAATGATAGAATGATAATGCACAGACAGATATAGAACCCAACATATCTCGGTCTGGCATAACTACTACTGTATTGAACAAGCTAGAAACCCATAACCGCATGCTCTTTAGAATCTTATTTAGCAAAGATCGTTGCTTTCCCTCCCCTAGCCTTCATGAAATTGCCAAGATCAGTCTCCTTTCCACTCGACATAAGTACCACCCCTGTGTTCTCATACATAAAATATTACTAAATAAAATACCCTTGCATATGCCGGCTTATAATTGGTTCTCCGAAACACGGAATACCCGGAACTCATTCAGTCTCCACCCTATTCACTAGATCCCCGATCTTTGCTGGCTATGTGTCTTGGGCAACATTACCAACGCAGGCCAAGACCAGCACGTCGATGGATAATTTCGTTGCTTAAATCTCTGCTCAATTATAGGTTTCATGTATTTGCATGACATCCTGCTGGTTTGTCTCCTCCTTTGCCTTCTTTGCCTTTTATTTGTATTCTTTTGTCTGTTTTACTGCTGTGGTTGGCTTTCACCCTTGTCTCAGTTTTACTGGCAATCATCATGATGTGCCATGAGATGATGATTATAAATACAAAATACAAATATCTGCGCATCCGAATGCAATCGGATGCACATACAGACAGATAACTACCCAAACATGTGTACCAGTGCACGCACACGCACGCACAAACGCACGGACGCACACAAACGCACGGACGCACACAAACACATGCACCCACACGCACGCACACACAGGCACACACACGAATGCAACGCACGCACATGCGCACAAGTAGGGAATTGCCATAAAACTCACAGTTACAACAAAACAAAGTTTTTCACCATTGCGAACTTGTGTTCTGCTGTATTCTGGACTTGTTTAAAGTTCGGCATATAATCTCGATGTGGAAACTTACTTGAAACGCATGTCGGTGGAATGGAGCTCCACGTTCCGTTGGCCGCACAACGCGCAACGCGACGTCCAACCAATGTACGTCCACCAGTGCAGGAGTATGTAGCGGTGCTGCCCGGACCCGAGCCGGACATGGCTATTTGTACGTAGGCAGGCAGGGCTGGGCGCTTGCATGCAGCTGGTAGTATGGGAGAGTAGTACACGGAATGAGATAGGAAAACAGTACACGGAATGAGATAGGAGAGCAGTACACGGAATGAGATAGGAGAGCAGTACACGGAATGAGATAGGAGAGCAGTACACGGAATGAGATAGGAGAGCAGTACACGGAATGAGATAGGAGAGCAGTACACGGAATGAGCCGGAACATTTGTTGTTGTTGACTGTTAGTTTACTTCACCAATTGCACAGGCATGATTGCCTTCTCACCGTCCACATTTGCACTAAACTAATGACCGGTCATGAAGATACACACCGGCGTGTGTGGCACTGTGACTGCTCTTCGGGGATTTCCGACTGCGTGGACTAGTCACTTATGGACCGTGATGGATCACGGGGACGCAGGGGCGTCGGAGACGGTACGGTCATTACGGTAATGACCGTACCACTTTTCGCCCCAGGTACCCTGAGGAATGGATAAAGTACACTATTCTGGGCTCTAAATTTCCATAAGTTTGGGCTCAGCAGCCCTTCTCCCACGAGTAAATTGTACTTCAGATGGCTGACCATACCACACTAGAATACTTTTCGACGCCCCTGGGACGTGAATGATCACAGAGTCCTACTAGTGCCGCATTTTCCGGAGTATAAATTGCACTGGAGTACAAACCATACCAAGATTTGTTTGTCACGAAGTACAGACATCTACTTTAGTTATCTCCACTAATTTGACCCATTTGACCGTCGTAGTATATAAGCTACATCAACGTTTTTCGGGTGAATTAAAAAGTAAAAAGTATACTATCGTGTCCGTTCCCGACGGGAACGCGGGAACGCACGACGGCCGCTAACACCCGGTAAACCTTGGGTGAATTTCTGTTGCTTTAAGTGCGGCTTGTACTCCGGAAAATACGGTACATAAGCAGACCCGGCAAAACGGGTCTGGTTGGTCAGTCCGTGGCCGGACCAACGTTTCGGCACCGACATGTGTTTACTGCTGAGGAGGTCATGTGTAAAAAAATTAAATAAAAAAAGTAAATTATCGTGTGCATTCCCGAAGGGAACTCACGACGGAGGCTAATAACCGGTAAACCCTAGGGTCATGTGTATACCCTCCATATAATGCACTAAGTGTGAAATGCTAGCTTATGACCGGACCAATGAAAAGTGCATCCGCCGCTCCTGATAAGGCACCGATGACTCACCTGTGCATGAGACTGCATCGCCATGCCAACGTCCTGTGTCCAGACACTGCCTGTTACGTCTGTTGGGAGTCATGGTGAAGCCGGTGTTGCAGGAGTACGTCAGAATTGACCCGACGGTGATGGGCTGCACCACGTAGCGAACAGAGCCGTTGTCTGGTTCGGTGACCCGTGGACATGCGTCTAGACACAGGAACATCACACAGAACTCACACGGTCAGGCTTTTGCAGTGGCCAGACGAAAAAAACAAGACACGTTACATGCATCCTCAGACCCCATACTCACATCCCATTTACCCTCCACTGTGAGACGCGAGTCTATAAACTTGAAAATGCTAGGTTTCAGCCAGCCCAAAGTCGCGGATCCATATAGCGGTTGTGCGAATGAGTCCACACGGATTTTCAAATGTTCACTGTACATAGCGCGAGTCGTCACTAGTGTAAGCGCAGCGCTATGCCACGAGTCCGCGACGTCGCCACAGTATGTAAGCGCAGAGCTATGCCACGAGTCCGCGACGTCGCCACAGTATGTAAGCGCAGAGCTATGCCACGAGTCCGCGACGTCGCCACAGTATGTAAGCGCAGAGCTATGCCACGAGTCCGCGACGTCGCCACAGTATGTAAGCGCAGAGCTATGCCACGAGTCCGCGACGTCGCCACAGTATGTAAGCGCAGAGCTATGCCACGAGTCCCCGACGTCGCCACAGTATGTAAGCGCAGAGCTATGCCACGAGTCCGCGACGTCGCTACAGTATGTAAGCGCAGAGCTATGCCACGAGTCCGCGACGTCGCCACAGTATGTAAGCGCAGAGCTATGCCACGAGTCCGCGACGTCGCCACAGTATGTAAGCGCAGAGCTATGCCACGAGTCCGCGACGTCGCCACAGTATGTAAGCGCAGCGCTATGCCACGAGTCCGCGACGTCGCCACAGTATGTAAGCGCAGAGCTATGCCACGAGTCCGCGACGTCGCCACAGTATGTAAGCGCAGCGCTATGCCACGAGTCCGCGACGTCGCCACAGTATGTAAGCGCAGCGCTATGCCACGAGTCCGCGACGTCGCCACAGTATGTAAGCGCAGAGCTATGCCACTAGTCCGCGACGTCGCCACAGTATGTAAGCGCAGAGCTATGCCACTAGTCCGCGACGTCGCCACAGTATGTAAGCGCAGAGCTATGCCACTAGTTCGCGACGTCGCCACAGTATGTAAGCGCAGAGCTATGCCACTAGTCCGCGACGTCGCCACAGTATGTAAGCGCAGAGCTATGCCACGAGTCCGCGACGTCGCCACAGTATGTAAGCGCAGAGCTATGCCACTAGTCCGCGACGTCGCCACAGTATGTAAGCGCAGAGCTATGCCACGAGTCCGCGACGTCGCCACAGTATGTAAGCGCAGAGCTATGCCACGAGTCCGCGACGTTGCCACAGTATGTAAGCGCAGCGCTATGCCATGAGTCCGCGACGTCGCCACAGTATGTAAGCGCAGCGCTATGCCACGAGTCCGCGACGTCGCCACAGTATGTAAGCGCAGCGCTATGCCACGAGTCCGCGACGTCGCCACAGTATGTAAGCGCAGCGCTATGCCACTAGTCCACGACGTCGCCACAGTATGTAAGCGCAGCGCTATGCCACGAGTCCGCGACGTCGCAACAGTATGTAAGCGCAGCGCTATGCCACGTGCTAGGCCACGAGTCCGCGACGTCGCCACAGTATGTCAACTGATGATGTAGTCGCATAACGTCGATATGTTTGCGTGGGTTTCCTTCCAAGTAGGGTGACTCATCGGCCGGTACTGTCTGGACCGGGTGGGGCAGGGACATGGCCCTCCTTCCACCGGAAACGTCAAACCAGCACAACATTAGAATCCTACCTAGCGTTTACCACACATCGCTACGGTCTGAGCGGACCCAGTTTGCCCCAGAAGTCCACATTTATTGACTTCTGACGGTGACACTTTCAAGCCCTACATTGCTGCAGGAGATGCATTTCTACAGTGATACGCACGGAAATTCTGGTTGGGTTCCGGTTTCTACGTGGTGCCACGCATAGAGCCATGCATACGAAGCCTTGCACAGTGTGGCCCTATCCTGGTGCTATAGACGTGTTGTGCACCATGACCATACAGGACAGCCATGTTGGTTCCAACTCCACTCAACCCCTGCATCTATGGGTCACATGACGCCGGCCATGTTGGTTCCACCGTCAACATGTCATGTGGGTTGCACTGTCACATGCCTGGATCTTTTTCTAGTAGGTTCTACAAACATTTTAGTCACATAATCAAAATATGAAACCACTCTACGGAAGCCGCAGCGCTAGGTCGTTAGGTCCCTAAAATCATACAGTATCGTCGGGTGCCGAAGAAGCAGGCTGAAGACTCGGCCATTCTGACTTTTCTGACAGAAATCTCTATACGGCTGAGCCACAATGTATGGACGGGCATCTTGAACCTGGTGCAGTTCTAGTCTGTTCTTTCTTCGGCGTCCGCCAGCACTGTACAACAATTCTGATCGGCCATATTGCATGTAGCATTTCACCAATGATGTTAATGAATCATGATCTTTCGTCCCTTTGATTTCACATAATCAATGCCATGCATTCGAATGTTCACCGTGCATACACGTTCAGCGCAGGTTCTTACCTACTCGTCGGCAAGTCGGCGGAGTCTCCCACGCTCCGTTTGTCTGACAGATGATGGTTGCCTTGCCGACAATCTGATACCCCGACAGGCACGTGTACCTTCGTGTCATGCCCGGCCGCCACCTGCCAGCAATGCCCCTGTTGCCGGACTGACGGGAATTCCCCACGCTGGGTGGTGCCAGGCAGGCCGTGCCGGGAGTTTGCGGCTCGGGTAGTGTGGTGGACGGTGTGACTGGTGGTGCTGTGGTGAGAAACAGACGAGGTGTTGGTGGAGGGTTACGCAAAGAAAAAAGGGGAGCAAGAATCTCATTCCTATACTGTATAGCAGAAAATTACAGGACGGAATTTATTTTCGTACAATTTCGTACACGGCCTCTTTTGTACTAAAATTGATTCCATACTAAAATCTGTTCATGTGAAATTATGTACATTAAACATGCATACCGCTTGCGAACACGTGTATTTAGCATGCAGCACTGTGTGAAAATATAATCCGTACGAAAGTTCGAAATGCGGAAAATTTCCTGCTATATATTTTTCTTTTTTAAATCTTACTTGATGCGAACGTAACCATTATACATTGTATACTTCATCATGATATACCTCAAAGGACAGTGAAACTCCGTGTTTTAGAGTCATGGATGTATATTACTCTTACAATTACAGTTCTATGCATAACAGGTGTCTGGTGATTGGCTCTGCATGAAACTTTGAGTTACGACATATTCCAATTGGAAAAAAATAAGTCACTGTTGAAGACAAGTGGCCTGCCTCTTTTTAAGAGTGCCGGCTGACCCAGCAGAGAGGGGAGGGTACGAAAAGAGAAGGGATGATGTGCCTGCAAGGAGAGGGTGTTTAAACAAGGGGTGTGGGGGGGGGGGGTAAGGCACGGGTAAAGGGCAGGGGAAGGGGAAGGGGGGGGGGGGGAGTTGCCGGGACGACAGGAGGGGAGAGGTTCCTGTGATATTTCAATACTTCCCCTCCTTACGTGGTGTTGTGTTGAGGACACCGCCATCTATCGTGATGCTAATGTCCCATAAACCGACGCTGGTCGTGCATTGGTAACTTCCCTGTAGCACACAATGCAATAATTACAAGTATAACAACACAGAACAATGGATGTACAGTCAGACTTCGCATAAACGCACACATCCGTTTTCCAGAAAAAAATCCGGATAGGCGAGGGAACCGGATAATTGAACACACATACTGTATGTATGTGTTGCGGATTTCTGTTCGACTATGATTTACGCATGTTGTTGTATTTGGTTCTTGTCTGGTGGAGTCCAGTGTCTGATGTCATATATGGTCTAGGTGTACACGCGAGTATGGTGTGATGTGCGACGTTTATGGTATGTGGTACATGCAAGAGTACGCGTTGTCAGAGAGTGAGGATGTGCTTCCGTCTGTGTGAGAGTGACTGTCCAGTGAATGCTGTACATGCGCAGTGCTAGTTTGGTCTGGCAATGAGAGTCGTGTGTGATTCGTCCGTGGTCTGGTTGTCTTGGTCTTGGTCATGTGTTCTGTATGTATTAATCCCTGATTGGTCGTCAGGATTTGTCGTCGGTTTATTACTGCTTGTTCTTTGTTGATTCTTTGAGTCTTTTCCCGGGAGTCTTTCCCGTCGTCGTTTTGTCCTCACAAAGTTTGTCTCTCTCCTCCTGCGCCCTCACCATTTGTTGATAGAATATAAGTACTGAAGATATAATCAAGAGTTTGCGTTGTTGTGTGGCGGGGGCCAGGGGGAGTAGACTACTTCGCATGCAGGGCATATGCTGGAAAGCAGTAACCAACGATTTTCTTCCGGATGGCGAGGGATCCGCATAAACGAGGACCGGATAAGCGAGGTCTGACTGCAGGGACTAATTTAACCGGTATCGCATCGCAGTTTGCGACGCAAAACACAGTGTCTGCGATTCGAAGTTCGTAGTGAGTCGCGGTAAACTGCGACACAACATACATGTTAGCTAAGTATGGCCCTGGACATAGACTTGTAGTGCACGCGTAGCGCATGCACATGTGTAGCTTTACAGTGTGTGTGGCTAGTTTGGCGCCACGAGATTGCGCGCCATGCACTGTGACTAGATTAGACTGTGTGTGTGTGGTTGTCCAGCCTGCACTGCAGCACTGCAGGTAGATTTTACACCATACGCACGCGCGGACCGCGGGACCATGGCCATAATATAATTATTATGTCACACTATCTCCGCACGCGCACCGCAGCACGTGCACTTGGAGTTGGAAACTAACTAACTAATTACTTACTTGAAGTGCAGCCCAGGAAGCACGAGGCGAGTGTCGACAAGTACTTCACCTGCTTTTGAGATTTAGACCGCGTTGCTTCACTAGCAGTAGGCGTCTCGACCGTTCAGGACTTATCTTTGTAAAATTCTGCTAGCCTTATTGATGAAGCCTCTTCACTGCCGGCATGTCTGTGAAGCAAGGTACTGTGGACAAGTGGATTGCTGAATTTGATCCCAAAAGAGAATGGATTCGCGCAGAGTCGAGTGGTGGAGCTGTGACCAAGATATTTTGCAAGATGTGCAGGGAGAAGGCGTCCTCGCTTCGTGGTTTGAGGAATTACAGCACGGCGTTTGCTGACGGTATAAGTGGAAGTGCACTGAAGACTGCATTGTCTACGGAAAAAAAACTGCTATGCAAAATTGTTGCGTTGCTATGCAAACGTCGAGGTGTGTAGCAATTATTGCTATGCAATTTTTTAAGTAAATTAGTCCCTGGACTGCATTATCATACTGGGTAAAACACGGGTGTCGATGCACTAGATAACACTTTGGTGTCGTTTGTCGTTGCACCGGGGCTGGGCTGAAAATGCCAATGCGAGTGTGCAACAAGGTACAGGAGAAGAGACCCTCCCCGACTTTAGGTCTCACTCATGCATGACTAAAAATACTCTAATTTCAGAAATTTTCGATGCTCAATATTTTCGGTATGAGGGCAACAGGCTAGGTTAGGTAAACAGAAATTTTCGGTACAGAGAAGCAGTTCCCTATTGGATTATGTGTGTTAGTGTTTGTTCGGTGTATTGAAATTTTAGGTGTGAAACAGACGCACCGAAAGTACCGAAAATAAAAGTACACCGAAAAATTGTGAAATTACAGTAATCAACCAATTGATAGTCATGCCTATCTAAGTCGGACATTGGTCTAACATGTACACTAATAGGAAAAGTAGAAGTCTACGTACATGTGTATGCGTTTGTGTGTGTGTATGCGTTTGTGTGTGTGTGTGCGTTTGTGTGTGTGTGTGTCTGTGTGTCTGTGTGTGTGTGCGTGCGTGCGTGGGTGCGTGCATGCAATGTTCCCCCAATCCTACCTGGCGTTGTTCAAGAGGCAGGCAGAGACGCAGGGTGCCATTCGCAAAGACCCGGCGATTACTATCACTGACAATGTTCAGTTTCTTATGAAACCAGACAGCATCGGTACCCCCAGGGCATACAATGTCCTGACATGCGTTGCACTCAGCATTCAAATTTGCACCACTTGCTGGCTCTGTATGAAGAGAGAGAAAGAGAGAGCGAGAGAGACACACACGCAGAGACCGAGACGGAGACAGAGACGGCGATGGAGACAGATGGAGGAAGAGAGTCAAGGTCGTTCTGCGCCAGTTCTCGAATGCATTGTTGATAGAGGAGCTAGGAGACTGGTGAAATATGTGACGCATGAGTGAGCATGGTCAATGCACAGTGAACGCGCAGCTCCCCTACATCATGAACTCAGTACCTACTGGTCTAACAACTACAGCAACATCTGTAACTAAAGGCAACCGTCACTAGCGACCAGCCTGCTACTACAGACCACTTGGACTGGCACAAACCTCTAACTAAAGACCACCTGCCACTAAAGACCGCTTTCTCCGGCCCCAAGGGGTAGTCGTTAGTCACAGGTTTTACTGTAGCTGGAAATTTCCTTATTATCAAAAAAACAGTCCCTCACCTTCAACCCGGAATAAGAATGACGTCGATTGCATATTACCAGCTGACTGAATAGACTGGCATGTGTATGTGCCTGCATCGCTGTGCTGTACCGGCTCAATCACAAGCTGCTCACGATAGCTGCCTGCGATACGTACGCGACTCCCGTCGGATGTCATCTGAGCAACCACCGGGGACGAGAAAAGGGAAAAGAAACTTTAGATTTCAGCGACATGGACATTTCAGTGTAGCAAATGGATCAAGTTGGCTAAACTTAGGATTCCCGAATGATTTCCCCACACTTGTGGTGTGTAGATATGTGCACAACAGAAGTATACGGACATGCCCGGATTGGTGGCGTCAGGATGAGGGCACTTTGACTGCACCGTACCTTACTATGATCGTGGTGGATCCAATTAGACCAATCCCGAAAAGATTGTCTGGGTTCGTGAAAGGGGGCACGCGTGCAAGCCAGCTCGTGTGAAGTGCATCGTTTTGTATTTAGTTTGTATGTGTCAGTTCATGGCGGAGGAGAGAGAGACTTTTGCTCGCCGAGCTGAAGCTGAAGGATTTGATGAAGTCCTGCCAGCAGCTAGTCAAAGGACCTTCGGTACCTTAGGCAGATCCTGACGAAGTTTGGAGGCCAGCTAGCTCTCGGCGAGGAGAGGAACATTCGCGTGGCGATCGACTCGCCGTAAAAATACAAGCTACATAGCGCCGACATACCGCAACAGCTACGATTTCAACTTACTTCTCGATCTGCTGCTTCACAACGTTCAACTAGTTACAAGTCCTGACTGTTGTAGTCTGAACCCAGAGTCGCATCGCCCACCTACAAGTAGGTTTTGGAGGTGATGAATTTTCCGACGGGGACTTCTTCCGCAAACTCTCGCAACATTACTACAGTGTATGCTGTGTTTCCGTACGCTCGTGTCGACATGTCACCTACTGTACATGTACCGGATCGCGGAGGCGGAGGAGCTTGACGACCTCCGCTGACCCCAAGTTGCCGAAATACCTCCGTCGTGTTCGTTGTTATCACTGGATACATTCTCCCCTTCCAGAACCCGCGCCTAGTTGTCGTCCCGGGGGTAGAGACTATGTTGTCTTTCGAAATAGTTCTGCATCACGCGGCTTGCGCGAATGATGATTCTCATCATGAACTCGTACCGACGGTGTGACATGGCGATGGTCTTTGGCGGGGCACTGGCTTGGCGAAAACGCAATCTTCTTGTGCAGTAGAACATTGATCGGCTACAGATGAGTACAGTCACTTCGTGGTTAGTCCAATAGGAGGGCACCTGCCAGGAAAGAGGCAGGACTCATCGAAGACGAAGCGCTCGCAACAAACAATAGTACTCGAAATATCTACTTACTCAAGTAGTAAGATTTAGGGCCTATCGCTTTGAGCCACAGCGCTCACAGCCTTGTCTACTTCATCAAAGTGAGCTCTACATGTTCGTTGACCTCTTCACACTACACAGAAGATCGAAACAAGGATTGTGGCTTAGCATTTCGACTCCAACAGCAGACCATTACCAGTGCGAGAGAGAAAACCCACAAAGGGCTTTTCTTTCTGTCGCATCGTCTCTCTTGCATGCAACTAACGAGAAAACCGTGTACGTACCCCCGCATTCACACGCAAACTGTCAAACACGTCCTGTGCCGCATGCTGATCAGGTAGTGCCATGTATGTGTTGTACAGTGTACTCTCAGTTGACATGCCCCCTTTCGAACCCAGACAATCTTTTCGGGATTGGACTATTCGACCCAGAAGTCGTAATTTATTGACTTCTGATGTCATTAAAGGGGAAGTATACCCTAAAATCAAATTTTCACCAGTTGTAGTCGTCTGGGTGCTGAGTCGAATGGTCTTGGTCCGAGGAAGCTGCGACGCTCCCTTCCTACTTGAATCCCAATCGAACTCGCGCACTTCCACCGAAACTGGGTGACTGCGCCCTACTAGATGGGGATTTGTATGCAAAATGTCACTAAAAGCGCCGTTTCGTTCTTATAAAAGCACGGATGACCGCGATTGGCCCATATGTTGTAGTCTTTTGGACGCTGAGTCGACTGGTTTTGGTCCGAAAAGGCTGCGATGCAGCGTTCCTCCTTTATTCCCAATCGAACATGGTTGAACAAGCGGTCACGTGCTCCTGGGTGCCCAAATCACCTGGTCACCACGCCAGCAGGCGACAAATTTCACACCAAGGTTCAACTCGAGTTCAACTCGAGTGACAGGAGTGCACCCAAAAAAGGTCAAACAGGCTAGTAAGTTGTACCCTGCAGGCACGGTGACCAGGTGACTGGTGTACGCAGGAGCACGTGACCGCTTGTTCAACCATGTTCGATTGGGAATAAAGGAGGAACGCTACATCGCAGCCTTTTCGGACCAAAACCAGTCGACTCAGCGTCCAAAAGACTACAACATATGGGCCAATCGCGGTCATCCTTGCTTTTATAAGAACGCAATGGCGCTTTTAGTGACATTTTGCATACAAATCCCCATCTAGTAGGGCGCAGTCACCCAGTTTCGGTGGAAGTGCGCGAGTTCGATTGGGATTCAAGTAGGAAGGGAGCGTCTCAGCTTCCTCGGACCAAGACCATTCGACTCAGCACCCCGAAGACTACAACTGGTCAAAATTTGATTTTAGGGTATACTTCCCCTTTAACTTCAAGCCCTACAGAGGAGTATGCCTCGTAGAGGTTTTAAGCGATGAGATCATCAGTTGAGAAGCTTTGGAGAAGTCACGGACTCGCGGCACAGTACAGCACTGCACTGCACTTGCACCAGCGACTCACGCAGCATACATACCGGTAGCTCCCATTAAAAAAATTCACCATGAAATCATTCACATAACCTCTATACTGCACTGGTGCATACTGTATAGCAGGAAATTTTCGGACGGAAATATTTTCGGACAAAGCCGAATTTCGACCTTTCGTACGGATTCTATTTTCGTACAGTGCTGCATTTTAAATACACGTGTTCGCAAGCAGTATGCATGCTATAATGTACATAATTTCACATGAACAAATTTTAGTACGGAATTTATTTTAGTACAAAAGAGGCCGTGTACGAAATCGTACGAAAATAAATTCCGTCCGAAAATTTCCTGCTATACAGTGCATTGACCGGTTTGGTGTACTTCATCCATTTAAACATATTTTTTAGATTTTAGTGATGTAACAGACCATGAATTTTGGGAATGAATATTCTCTTGCTAATACAGGTAGACTCCCTTTAATTCGAACCTCAAATTGCCAGGCCCTAACTTCGAATTATCCAGAACTTCTAATTATCCAAATGCAGCCCCATGCACTGATATGTATGTCAAAATGCTTGAAATCGTATGCTGAATATTGTTTGCACATTTTTATTTGCATCAACGAAACATAGGTGTTCGTACCGGTCATGTACAACGGATCATCAAAACACTGGATCGACAAAATCATTTTGACATTATCTTCATCTTCTAGTGAAGAAGTAACAGCCACTGCAGCTTTCCTGAAACAATTTCAACGGAAAAGAACTGCGCTGCCTAATCCGCGTCATGAAAGGCCGTCGGACAGCAGCACATCGTTCTGAAGAACCGAAGTGAAGCATAGGCATCGACAATATTTACGACAATGGTGTTGTTGTGCGCCACCACCTCCGCGCACGAGCTGGCGCGGCAAGAAAGGCCATCGAGATCCGCGAAGAGAGTCAGCGACCTGGAAAAAGTCGTCTTCAATCAAACCTTTGCAATTTGCCTCGCACGGGCTTGAATCAAATTTCGAGAGAAGGTGGGTTTCTTGAACGCTATAGTCGATCCTGCAGCGGACTATTGATCGATTTTTGAGCTTCTCTTGGCTAGAGAAGGAGAAAAGAATGAACTTCGAATTACAAGGATAGCAACTCAGTCTCAATTCGAAATAAGCGTTCAAAGGACATAGCCAATGTACTGTAAACAGCTCTTCTGTACAAAGACTGGGTTCGAATTATCCAACCGGCGCACTTTTCGTACTTCGAATTATGCATTCGATTTTGACTTGAAGTGACTTGCAGAAGATCGGTACGACGAAAAAGTTCGAATTACACGGAATGTTCGAATTATACCGTATTCGAATTAGAGGGAGTCTACCTGTACCACTCAAGAGAACGAATGATTCTTCTACTATTCCACAAGAAGTGTACATGTAGCAAACACACAATACAAGCGCTCAGACTCAGACTCGAGTCAGAGTAGAGTCTACCATGGTCGACCGTATGTAGTCTAGTCGTTGTCAGCAACACACTACAACGTTTATGCAAGTTCAAGTCGAGAGATCTAGAGTCACGCATGCGGTATGCAGCTCAGGGACTTCTCCCGTCCGCGAATATTCGAATTTTTTAACCTTCGACCTAGATTTTATCCGGTCGTTTATTCGTTGTCGAGGTCCACGAGCAATTTCAAATTTGGACTTCACGTAGGATTTCAAAGTATTAGGAAATTAGAGGCCAGATGCCACGTACTGCTCTTTTGGAGAGAAAAGAGCAGTACGTGGCATGCGGCCTCTAATTTCCTAATACTTTGAGGTCCAAGAGATCGAGGAAATTCGAATAATCGATTATTCGTTATGTTGAGACTCCCGGCACACACACAGGCACAGCAGAAGTCAAAGTTCTTGTTCGCACGAGGGACTCGAGATGATGAGAATGAGATGATGAGACCGGGAGCGAAAGAAAGGATGTGACACAAGGTTGTCAAGGGCCTGGGTAGCGATGGCAATGAATGTACGAGAGCGCTAATGCAGCTACCCAGGCCAAACGAATTGAACGGTAAAGCAGAAAAGGGAGAGTGCGGGAGCAAGAAGTCGTAGCGCATCCGAGAAGCGGGAATGGAAAAGGGTGCATGCAGTAATGTGTGCATGAGTGCGTGCGTACGTGCATATATGGCAGAGAGGTCATTGGTGTGCGAGTGCGAGTGTGTGCATATATGAAACCGTGAACCTAACGGTTACATCACTAATAATTCTTTACATTTTGTCTCATCAGGCAGCACACGTAACAGTGATAGTAGGGAGGTGAAGTCCCACGTACTCCGTGTGTACTTTACGTGTGTGTACCACGTGATACTCAGTGACCCACGTACAGACGTTTTCTGATTCACGACATACCGTGTATGGAGGCTCACCCACGTTCTGGCGGAACGTGGGTGAAAATCAGAATGGACCGCATTGTGCAAGCTGTGAGGGTGCTCGAAATAGCACGAAATAAAAATATTCGATGAGCTTCTAAGCTTCGTCTTTGACCAAGTTTGTGCCGTTCGCTTCATGCTTTTATTTGCTCCGTGTGACTAAAACAACATTGTGAACGTGGGTCCATTGCATGAACTTTACATGTATCACCCACGTTCCCGTATCCGTTTAATTGGGACTAAACCTCCCTAGTGACAACTTACCACACTTCCGTTGTGCCGCCAGATTACAGGCTGTCCCGGTCGACTTGTGATGCACTCCAATCTGATGAAGTCACAGCGGCGTGCCACTTGAACACGGTCCGGGCTAGGAGTGATCACTGAGTGTACACACAGACACGCATATAAATGTACATACACATGCGTGCACACATGCATGCATGAAAGAACGCACGAACGCACGCACACACACACACACACACACACACACACATGCACGCACACGCACGCACACACACACGCACACACACACACACACACACACACACACACACACACACACACACACACACACACACACACAGACACATACACACACACACACACAGACACACACACACACACGCACATATACATACCAGTGAATCTAGTGTCTGCTTCTATCAAAGCGGAGTGGTGTCTATGCTGGATACCCCAGCAGTGTAGGGTGTACTTATGGTATAAGTAACCATCTTACTCGTTCAGTCCAATCCACTCCCCGTGGTATAGACCAGGTGTGCACTTGGGACTTCGCCAGTTATGTGAATTTCGTAGTTACCTGGCGGAAAGTTGTCATTTATTCAGATTTCGTCTGCTGTTATGCTGTTACTGCTAAAGAAAGTGGGTCTACATCCAGTGCAGTTCCAGATTTTCGTTTTTCGCTTGCAACGGGATACCATGGTGCAAGGTGTGTGTGTGTGTGTGTGCGTGCGTGTGTGTGTGTGTGTGTGTGTGTGTGTGTGCATGTGCGTGTGTGTGTGTGTGTGTGCGCGTGTGCGCGTGTGCGCGCGCGCGTGTGTGTGTGTGTGTGTGTGTGTGTGTGTGTGTGTGTGTGTGCGTGCGCGTGCGCGTCAATGCGTGTGTGTGTGTGTGTGTGCGCGTGAGCGCATGTGAACATGCACGCGTGCGTAAGGTGTTTGCTTTGTTCGCAGGTGCATGCATGTGCGTTTATCAACATGCCATTCTCCGTGAACTTCTCATGATAGCGGTGACACTAACTTGAATGTTTCTAGGAACATTCTAATTCAACAGTAGTGACCATAACCACTCACTATAAGAACTGTGTTAGGAGTAGCTCTGCCCACTGAGCACTCTATTGGACAGCCTGGAACCTATCTGCTTTAACCACTCACCATGCGGTTGAGGCGTTATTTGCGTCACGGATAGCTGGCTGAACTCCCGTCTCCCCGGCGTCTGCACGCCGGTAAACTGGAGAAAGAAGCTGCGCTCGGGCACGGTGAAGGGACCGAAGACGACGTACGTATCGTTGCGGAACGCCACTCTCCTGATGCGCGCGATGCGACGTTTGTTACTGACGAGGTTGACGTGTGTTACCAGTGTCCCTGGTTGCGTGCCCACGATGATGTACATCTGCTGGCCTGAACATACACGGCACAATCAACAGCGCATCACGTTTTGCAGATAAAGAACGGAAACCGTAATGCACACTATAATGTATACAATCAGACGTATAACTCTGCATAGATGTACATGTAAGACTGCACCATTGAATAAGAACAAAACTGCTGTGTGTTCACGAAAATTAAGAACGGGCTAGGCTAGAACCCTGAGGCCCCAGTTCTACGGCGCCAGACTGTACAGTATACCATTAGGAACATGCCAACACGTTTAATACGTCTTTTTTGATACATTTTATACGTTTGATACGTGTTTCTTTTAAGGTTTGATATGTTTCAGTTGCCGTCCCAGAGACCACCCTTACCTGCCACCGGTCGTGCAGAGGTGTCTTGTGATCCCGGTGGTGTGTTCGGGTCCATGGTGAAGGAGTACTGGAACTCCTGCGACAAAGAGCTGACCGACCTGACGCTCAGTGTGCAGCTGCGTAGGAATACAATGGTAGGAGATACAGTCGAAGCAAAAATAGTGTGAGGCAGAGTGGAGGCAGAATGACAGGGGATACAAGGCTGGTAAAATAGTGTCAGATATACTGTCACAGTTCTGCATGCACACTTACACTCATATGTTTAAGCGCAAAGCTCTGCACTAGACTATGTCTTTTTCTCTTTCTTTGCTCACCTGTTGCTCATCACTTCTTTTACAGATTTGGTTTCATGGAAAGTTTTGAAACCCCGTCGATAGGCGAAAGACTTTGGGGAATCCTTAAAACAATAAAAAGATTACAAATTACACTGCTGGCCCTGTCTGGAGCACGAGTGTGTTGATCCATACTGCACAGTATATAGGAAACTACGCGGTACAGTCACACTCACTTAGTACCTATCCTGATCAGACAAACAGCAAAACCTGTAACTAAAGACCACCGTGACTAGTGACCAGCCTGCTACTACACACCACATTGCCAGGCACGGACTGTCTCACATTCATTATAATTATGGTTGTGCGGTGCAAACCTCTACCTAAGGACCACCTGCCACTAAAGACCACTTTCTCCGGCCCCAAGGGGTGGTCGTTAGTCACAGGTTTTACTGTAGCACAGGCCATGTCCAGAGCACTGGTGCACTCGTCCGTACAGAAGCATGTAAGAACAAGACGGGTGCATAGATGCTCTACGGCAGAATCCAATCGTGGGAGTCAACTAGGCGCCGGGCGCTGTGTAATCCTAGACCGGTAAACATTGGGATGTTCAGGGCGCAAACCTAACTCACGCGATAGGACTTCATCTAGCAGCACTGTACCTCCGATACTAGAGATGAATTTTCTGCGGCCCATTCGGGAGTTCGGGTACACCTTATCATACTTCTGCTATGCTCAGGCCCGTCGGAAGCACTTCGTGAGTGGTCAGGCCGATAATGTTTGAGTTGGAGGTGGTCCGGGTGGAGGGATATCGAGGGCTGGTCTCCCCCGGGAAATTTTTGAAATTAGGGTGCAAGATTCAGCATTCTGGGCATTTTCGGCATTGTGTGTTTAAAAAAAAAGTGATCAGGCCACGGCCCGAAAGCCTGACCCGGTGTGACGGCCTTGATGCTGTGTCCATCTGGGTGGGACACACTTTCCATTGCAAGCACACTGCTTACCCTGATCCAGACTTGACCAGAATCCACCACCTTCCTCGCGTAGGATTTACCATGCTGTACAGTATGGAGTTTTGCGTTGTTTCTCGGATCAGACGGTTCGAGGTATCGGCATTGTTTGGAGGGCTGATCAGAACTGCAGCATAACGTGTTACAATACCATACAGAGGAGAGAGAAGGAGAGAGAGACAGAGAGACAGAGACAGAGAGACAGAGAGACAGAGAGAGAGAGATGGGTGAGAGAAAGAGAGAGTGTGTGAGAGAAATAGTGAGAGACAGACAGACAGACAGACAGACAGACAGACAGACAGACAGACAGACAGGCAGGCAGGCAGGCAGACAGACAGACAGACAGACAGACAGACAGACAGACAGACAGACAGACAGACAGACAGACAGACAGACAAACAGACAGACAGACAGACAGACAGACAGACAGACAGGAATACAGACAGAGAGACAGAGACCGAGACAGAGAGAGCTCAATTGCAACTCAGAGGTTCACATTATCGGAGTGCGACGGAGGTTTCCTGCTTCAACTTTGTGGAGGGCTCTACTTTAAAAGGACATAAGATGCCCTCTTCAAGGACTGGAGCAGTTTAGTTGTGTGCCAAACCTGGATGATTTGTTTAACATCGGATATGGACCATGCACAGATGGCCCATGTTTCAAGGTAGATTGACTCATTCCTATCTGCCAACCGTTGTAAACCTGAGATCGGGACAGCACGTACCTAGGTATGAAAAATTGAAAATTTATACAAATGTAGCCGTGAGGCATGCGACTAATGCACTTCTGGGTGCCTATTACCACCCTCGATAGAATTCTTAGGTTTGAGGGAGTTGAAAATGGGAAAAGTATACATCCTCTCACGCTTTGAGCTGCATCACACGGGCATGCCTAGCACTGAACAGTACGGTGAGACTGGAATCCGAATATGACTGACCAAAATAAGGATGGGTTCACAAAAATAGAGCGTTCTCGCATAGAGATCTGCGGCTGTCTAACCTGAAGGGCTGGCACCTGCTGCGCAGCTAATTGTCACGCTGAGAGACTGAGTGTTGGCGCTGACTAGAAAGCTGGTCGACCAGACGCTCCGGTCGATGCGGTGGTAGAGCAGCGGCCCACTAGGACCGCCCACAAAGCCGCGCGCGGCAAACTCCAGGATGGCTGACACCTCCGTCTTGTTGACAACAAAAACCTGAGGATAGGTGGGACAAACAACAAGATAATTATGGGGTTATGTGCTGCACGGGAATTAAATTCATGCAACATAGCGAACAATGGTTGAGTTATGGCGCGGACTGTGCCCCGTCAAACTGTATTCCATGACAGAAAGTAGGCTACCACCACCCAAGTGAATGTCAAATGGTTTTAAGATGGATGTGTGTTAGCGAACTATGAATTTTACGAACGAATAATCTAGCGAATATCACTCAAGCGAACGAACGATTATTCCACCATTCCACAAGAAAATTCATTATTGACGAATTATCGAATGCAAAGTGTACATGTAGCAAACACACAACACAAGCGCTCAGACTCGAGTCAGAGTGGAGTCTACCATGGCCTACCGTGCGTAGTCTAGTCGTTGTCTGCAACACAGTACACATAGTATGCAATCTAGTCGAGAGATCTACAGTCCATGTCAAAACTATAGACGCGCAGTGTCTTTGAAATATTTCAAATTTGGCTGGAACTTTTTGAGCATAGTTTTCGGAATATTGCTCAGGTCCGCTCCACAATTACTCTCATATAGTTTCTAAACAATTGGATAACAGACGCCCAATTTGGAAAATTATATGCACAAAGTGATCACAGATTTTATGTGGTATAGATGCTGGCATAACGGTTTTTGCCTTGGTACGCGTCTATAGTTTTGAAATGGACTGTAGAGTCACGCACGCAGAATGCAGCGCACAGACTTCGCCCGCCCGCGAATATTCGAATTTCCGAAGCTTCGATCTAGATCTAATCCGATTGAATATTCGTCGAGGTCCAAGAGATCGAGGAAATTCGAATAAATCGATGATTCTTTGCATCACTAATGTGTGTATTGCGCCGCTGAACAAAAACACGACCTAGATGATCTAGATACGTAAGATGAATGCGTGCATTTGCATGTGTGTATTTACTTTTTAGTGGGATATGCATGGTCCAGGACGAGCCACACACTCATTCGACCTCACATCGGCCTTGTGGGGCACTCGGATCCACGATGCATGTGGCGTATTCCTCATGTAGCGAGTTTACAAAATTATTCCTTATACCCGACATTGCCTGGTTCCCGTTCGACTGGGGGAGACGCCACGGGATGTTATGTAAGGAGCGATGCGAACCGACATGACACTTTTGATGCCGATTGACGGAGAAACTGTGAGCTCCAGAAGCAGGAACTCAAAAGCACCACCATTCGGGTCGTGGAGCGACAGGCGAGTGGAATCTGTGCAATGTATCATACTGTATGCGGGGACGCCAGCTTGTAAAACGGCTGCATTTCGCGTGTGAGCTAGCGACGGTATCCTGCAGCACTGTCCGCAGCGACAACTTTTCCTTAATGTGCATGGCGAATTACCGAATTGTTCACACGATTGAGTTGAATTTTAGCAGCCTGGATAATACTTTCTAGATTTTCGGATTACTCCCGGGCTGTGCCCGACCAACTGGAATACGTGTCCGTGTGGCTATTATTAAAAGTCCCCGGCTACTTTTGGTCTTAGCTGGTAGTGCGAGCAAGACTCCGCTTCATTAGAAAAGAGTTGTGAGAAGAGCAGCCGCGAAAAAGCAAGAAGTTACAGTGAACTTCAACCTGTCGCAGGCCATACGTTCTGCCTTGTGCTGGAGCACATTAGCCATCGCAGCAACTGCTGCATGTCGTGTCATACAGAGCGTACAAGATCTTACAGACTCCCCCCCTATGGTGGAAGCTTTCAAAATTTCTGAAATACTTTTTTATTTTTTTCTCTCTCACTCCCGTTCTGATGACCCTCCGGTATTTCGTTTCCTGTTCGACCCTCTTTCAAGTTGTACAATAACATTATACTGTTGAGGACACGAACTGAAATAAATCAACAACAACAGAAAGAATACTTACAATTCCACCGGATTGCTCAGCAATGGTGGCGTACACCCGATAGCCGACGGAGTTCTCAGAATGACAGTTACCACTCAGCACAAACACCACCTAGATGACAAGGCAGGACATGGGAGACCATCATGTTACGTACATGTATGTGAGCTCAATGAGTTGGAAAGGGAAATGTGACATGCAAAACAAATGACGAAGACACCCGGAGGTGATGTAGTTGATGGCCCAATATACAATCTAACGTCACTTCAGGCCATGCAGGCTCATTATGTCACGATGACTTGTATGGACATTCGGCCAAGTGCGCACGTACACATATGCATACACGCACGCACACACAGACACACAGACATACAGACAGGCAAGCGTGCACACTCTCCGGCCCGTTCTTCGGCACTCAACAGTACTATACTTGATGACAGTACCCACGCACTCCACCACCCCCCCTGCCCCCCCCCCCCCCCCCCCACTCCACACACACACACCCCACACTCCACCCCACAAACCCCGGTTATAGGTTGACCCCCATATCCGGAGGTCTCAATTCTGCGTTTTCACCCAACAATGCACTACCTACCACGCCCTGCTACTAACACATCAACAAATCATGTAAACATTCCTTATTGGAGGGTATAACGTCCCAATCCTTGAAAAAGGCCAATAAACTGGCATACATGTGTACACATGGTGCACTCATGCATGCAGGGCAAGTCATTTTTTGTAAGATTCTGATAGTTCCCGGTTTTAAGTCGAATCTCGGTTGTAAGTCGACCCCCACCCGTTCTCCTATTTTTAGTCGTAAAAGGTCGACTTACAACCGGAAAAATACGGTATACATAGATGCTGGCATCGCGCACCGACTCACACGGACTTGCCGCTGCTGCAGCTTCTCGAGCACCTCGTCCAGCTTGTCATGATCACTGGCTATGGCGTCGGTGAACAGGAAGACGGTGGAGCGCGGACACGTGGCATCGATAGCCAGTAGCAATCCGCTCATGGACATCTCCGGGCAGTCTCCGCCGTCCGAAACCGTCAGTCCGCACGAAGCGTCCGTCAGTTGCTGAACGGTAGAGAATTGACGTACGGGGCCATATCCTGGAACAACACATTTCAGAAAGTAGTTGAGTGGACACACCCATTCCCAAAGCACTGCAATGGACCGAACCAATTCTTTTACAAAATTCAACTCGGATGGTGAGCCAATAAAATTATGGTGAAAAAGGAGAAGGATAAAGATCTGGTTACGTTGGCAGACTGTTAGTCATAACTCGTAACATTTTGTCCTTCTCCTTTTTCACCACAATTCTTTTACGTACAGTTTTTCGGGACTGTTGGGATGGTCGGGTACGAATGAAACAATGATGCAATGCAGGCCAAATAAGAGCAGTTCCATGCCAAAGTCCTACCGCCAAAACAGCATATTCACGCGCAATAAGACACAACACATTTATCACACCGGCGCCACATCATTCAGAGCTTTTGCCCCACAAAACAAAAGGTAGCCAGGCGCTAGGCAGGTTTTTCCCATAATTATAGATCAATACCTCAATAAGGGTATTTCCCCTTACGCCAAATATGTCCCTGACAGCTGTTTCCTAGGCCAGCGCAGGCCCACATCAGTAATTCCTGACGATGGGCCTGGCCCGAAAATTTGGATTTTATTATTTTTGGAAGAATTTGTAGCCAAGAGACCGTTTTTGAGTAGTGGTGTATGACTGTGTGAAACATGAACTGTGGCTACAGTGGAGTCTGCACACCCTGGCCTTAGGACAGCGCTGGCCCACATCGGTAACTTACTGTAAGACCACATCTTTCCATGCCATCTAAACATAACGTCTTAACAACGTCGTGATATTTACTAGTGGCTGAACGTCTGGCCTGTTAGCAGGTTCCTCCTTCAGTTTTTTTATGCCCCCTTGGCTCTCCATCCGAGTGACATAATTTGACAGCAGTTTTCTTTACCTTTACTCAAGAATTGTTGCTCGGGTCCATGGGCTTTCTTCAGCTTCAGTTCTCGTTTTCCAGGGAGTTACGGGACTACAGTGAGAATCTAGCAGCTATGCAAAGATTCCCGCTGGCAAAGCTGCTTGTCTAGCCTGTCGAGTTAAACATTTTTCTCCTGAGCCCTTGAGAATCCATTCAAGGCTCAAGCATGCTCGTAACCACCTTCAGCAACTCCATTGTTCTAGGTTGGAGACAACCGCTGCCTTCACATGTCGGCTGCAAGTCCGCGGCGGTTGAGGTCAAACGTAGTTCGAGAGCATAATTTTCATCTCCAAGGTTCACGAATTTTTCACAATGCACAAACACTTCGTTTGTTGCTCGAGTAAAGGGATTTTACCCTGCCTCCCTTGTCTTTCCGACATACTCCAGCACAGGAAGCTTTACTTTATGTCAAGTACTGAAGTAGGCTTCTCAAGAGTACAGCCGCGAATTACTAGAATGCTCTCGCCTTCTGGCCTAGGGAAAAGGAATCTCATCGACTACTGATTCGACAAGAAAATTTCCATTATTTGTTTGAAGGGACTGCGTCAAAAAAGCAGGCATGCTCATAGATCTACGACTACGAGTCGCTGGTCTACTCTCGATCTCCACAGCAGCCACAGGTGTGAATATTTTGCCTTCAAGTAACTTCAAGTCGCTACATTTGTAGGTCTAGGCCTAGCGCTCGCACTACTGAAAGACTACTGCCTACTGCTCTGTCGCCAGAACAAGCCTTGAATCTTGTTCTGTCGCTCTACCTGATTCTTCTCTATCTGATAGAGCTAGAGAGGAATCAGGTAGAGCGTTAGAGCTGCCAGGTAGATCTCAATGCGCCTAGCGCCTGTGTCTGCAACTAAAGGCCCAGTCACAAAATAATCTTGGACTTTTGGCGGCAGAAAAGGTTGCCACTGACTTTACTCGCGAAGTTTCCGCACTTGTTCTCGTCAAAGTAACGTTTTCGCCGCTTTATGCCGGACAGTTGGGGGTCCGGCTAAACCCATCCACAACTGATGTGACACAACCTTACTAACCTTAGAATACCAATAATGCAATATCACCTGATAACACATTTACGCATGTACTCTTCATAACATAATCATTCACTGCAGCGCTGAGGTAGATCTACGAGCCATTAGTACAGCATTACCTGGGTCGTTGAATGGCACCAGGATGAAGCTACGGATGTGATGCTCGGGGCTGTTCACCAATGTCTCCGATATCTGCTGTGTATGACTGCATACCTGGAGGAGAAATAGACAAAAAATCAAACATCACGAGATACTTCGAGACTGTTATCAAGAGGTGCAGGCGTTACGGAGGAACATTCCAGCTGTCGTCGATACCCTTGGGATGTTCCGTGGCAGATCGTGTCGGCATAAAAATTGGTAGAATGTGGTACTTTTTCTGGCATATTTCAATTTCATGCATGTTTGGTATGTGAATAAATAGATATAATAATTATACATGTAGCAGAATTCAATACAAAAACTGCCATAAGGTTTGTACATGTATGTCCTGCCATTGCTTTTCGAGCAGAATCTGCCAGTTTTTGAGCATTATTCCGCCAAGTGCTGGCTACCTGGGGATGACCCGACACATCTGTTCTATATCTGTTTTTACTCAATATCTGTTTTTATAATGTTGCTGCGAGGGGTCCTGCTCATGGAGTTCCGTATCAAGTGATTGTACTACATGTAGTACCCCTGGGCGGATAGCCCTGGAAAGATAGGACGAGTCCAGTCAGAATCATTAAAATTGCCCTACCCATACAAGAGCCATGGTGTACAATTCCATCATTTCTACTCCTATCCATTATTGAGTTCTTTATAGATGTCAGGATCTTCCCTTGCAACCAGCCCTTGTCCAGTAATGGCACAAGCAAAATGAAAGGTAGACGAATCGACCAACAGTGCCATAGACACACACACACACCTTAGACCTTAGACATGCCCATCGCGGGAGCGATGATAGCGAACAGCTATGTTAGACATAGCAACTTGTGCTGGGATTACACCATTCAACAGCTTGCAAGGCTGATGAATTGACCGCCATTATTTTTAGCCTGGTATCCACCACACAGCTGTTAAAGTGACTTTTTCTGGCCAGTGACTCCCTATTTTTCATTTTTCCATTTTTTCTATTTTTTCTTTTTTTCTTTTTCTACACACACACCACACCACATACTCCGGCATACACTGGCTGTTGGTAACCACCCAGGAGAATGAAAGAAAAGTCAGGAAGAGTCTGAGAAAGAGAAGAAAGACGTGTGTGACCATAATCGTCGGGAATCGAACCCGCAACCTATCGATTGGAAATCGCTGCACATACCACTGCACCATATGGGACACACGCACCTGACCTTTGACCTTTGACGCCCATCGCCGGAGGCGATGATAGCAATGCTACGGCAGAAGCCATAGCAACTTGTGCTGGGATTACACCATTCAACAGCTTGCAAGGCTGAAGAATTGACCGTCACTATTCAGCCTGGTCTACACCATACAGCTATTTGGAGTGACATTTTCTGGCCAGTGAATCCCTATTTTTGGTCTTTTCATTTTTTTTTTTTTTCCCCGCACACACATCACACCACATACTCCGGCATGCACTGGCTGTTGGTAACCACCCAGGAGAATGAAAGAAAAGTCAGCTTCCTGACACACACACACACACACACACACACACACGCACACGCACACGCACACACACACACACACACACACACATGCACGATACACACATCTACACATACTGAACGGCAAATTGACAGAGAGACATAATACTAGTAGACAGAGAGGTGGGCATACTGACAGACCGAGCAATGGATAGAAGCACACTTTCCCATAGATGTAGACAGACAGAGTGACAGCCCCGGACATACCTGTTGAATGTCGTTGGTCATGCTGGCTGTGGTGTCAATAGCATACGTTAGCGATCTGGCGTTTCCCGCACAATACGTCTGCTCCAAGCAAATGGAAACAGGGAATACAATAGCAGAAGACATTCATCGACCAGAGATACGCACAGGATCGAATACCAACCCTTGTAGTAAAACAAACAGCTAGATTTTAGCAGATTTTAATTTTTTAAACAAAGTTGTGAAGTAACAATACCTGAAGTACCCGTACCCCCTGCGTTGATTTATTGGTGTGTGTAATGTGTGTAATGGCTACTGAGGGTAGTCAGCTGAGAGCGCATGAAGGAGAAGAGGAGGAGAGATTGTTCCAATATTTTTTAAAGTTAATTAGCCTTGAGGCCACTTGGATTGAGAATGGCGTGTGTAAAGTTTTCCAGGTAATGAAGCGGCTGCAGTGGAGCTTGCGCACATTAATTAACCTTTTTAAAATGCACTAAAAAATTTCGTGCAAGTGTTGTGCATAGATAAGGAGAGTTCGGTGAATTGTCTGCCATGATATGTTCCGTATGGGTCGATCACTTAGCAGAATCCAGAGCCATAGCACGGAGATTTCAGGTTCTCCTGCCAGATGGGATACTTGACCAAACATTATTGACGAAAATCCGCGTTCCACGAACTCAGTGGGTCAACGTTTTCGAAATACGGTCCCACCATGGCCCTGGAATCTGCCAAGTTTTCTAACGCCATGGACGAAGAGTTACAAGTGCGTCTTTCTCTTGATAATGGAGTGTCTCAGAGTCCTTGTATTTGCAAATCATGTAATCGATGTAAATTGCGACTGTGGGTCAAAAAGGAATGGATGTCGTCAAATCATTCTTCTTTCCATGCCCTGCAGCTATTCATTATCATGACGTAGAGGTCTGGACTAGGCATATATGGATAATGCCGGCAGAAAAATTGGCAGAATTCGGTACTTTTTCTGGTAAGTTTCATGCATGTTTGGTATGTGGATAAAGAAATGGGGCAGAATTCGAGGAATTGCCCGCCATAAGGTTTGCATGGTTCTGCCAATTTCACTGCTTTTCGAGCAGAATCTGCCACCTTTTCGAGGATTATCCGCCAATGGCTAGTCTGGACTCACACTCTTGGCCATGGATCGATAGCTTGTAACCTCCTCCACTGATACCGTATCTTAGACCTAGTGAGCCGAAACAATCGCAATTCATTGGACGGGATAAATTGATCCTGTTTTCCTTTTCAGACTCCGTTGCACCTCGGCTCACATTGAGCACAGCTATTCCGCCCTTGGGACGGTCACACATGCCATCTGCACACTGGACACTCCCCTTTGTAGGATTTCATTTGCCATAGGAGAATCCCTGAAAAGAAAATTTCATGTCCATCACATTATCAACTTATAGAAAAGAAAAAGACCAAGGAACTACAAGTTTCACTACAATGTCCACTAACACCACCAGTTACTTGACAATCAGCTCATGCGATAACATTGCACGACGCTTGCACGATTGCGTAACTTGTAGTTCCTTGGTCCTTTTCTTTTCTAAAAATTGATCCTTGGCTCTCCATCTGAGTACATCACCAACTTCGTGATAATTATTTCTTCTGGTTGTTCCTTTTCGCAGTTGACGTTGTTACTCAAATCGCATCTCACCAGAGGAAGTTGAGCATTCTGAATTGCTGGAATAGACAAAAGAAGCACTCTCACGGTCCAACCTAGTGAAAAGCCTCTTGTACGGGCAAAGCCTAACCTCGCCAAAACCGAGGCCATGTTCTTCTCTCCCTCGCCCCCCACTCAACTTCTGTATTTTCCTGGTCTAAATAGTACACCTATTAAAGTTGTTAACGAGCACAAGCACCTGGGCGTTATTCTCGACCGCCAACTCTCCTGGTCTCCACAAGTCCAGTCTGTGTGCAAGCGTGCGAGTGCGTCCTTAGGTATGCTACAACCCCACTGCCAACACTTGAATGATAACTGCAGAAAATTGTTCTTTAAGTCGTACATTTTGCCTATATTTGACTATTGCGATATAGCTTGGTGCGGGTTGTCTCAGACTTTACTCCACAGACTGGAGGTACATCAACGCTTGCTTCTGAAAATTCTGTTTCGAAAAGACCAAACATTTGCCTCCCTTTGTCTTTATAAACTTGCTTCCACGCACCCTCTTCTTGCCCGACATCAGCAGCATCTTTGTATCCTTGTGCAAAAAATCTTCCTAGCCCAAGTCCCGAAACATATTGCCAAGTACAACTGGTTTGTTACCACTAGACCAACACGCAATGCCTTATCACTGCCCCGAGCTAGTTCCTCTCTGTTTTTGAAATCCCCTTTCTTCTCAGCATACTCCCTTTGGTCTAACCTGCCTACTAGCATTAAGACATGCCAGGATATCAGGAAATTCACAGTCCAGCTTTCCACACTGTCTCATCCGAAGTGATCCCATGTATTATTAATGTGCCTCCCTTTCTTTTTCTCTCCCTATCTCCTTTCCCTCTCTGACAGCATCTTTCTTTTTTTTCCCTTTTAGCTTGCCGTGGTTGGCTATCACCTGACCTCTCATGTTTATTGGCAGTCTTCGGACGGGCCAGGAGATGTTGAATAAATAAATAAATAAATAAATAAAGCAAATGTGCTTACATAATAATTATGACACAAAATCTCAATACAAAAAGAAAAGAAAAAAGAAATGAACAAAACGCCAAGAATCTGAATAAAAAGACTCAATCCAATTCTTTGTTGCCATAACGAGAACTGAAACCCAACTAGGCACCGGCGGATTATGCCGGCAGAAAAATTGGCAATTCGGTTCTTTTTCTGGTAAGTTAACCTAATGGGAAATGGCGCACTGTTGGGGATGGTTGCTGCTACTGCATGCAGAACTGGGTGTCCAGCCAATATTGTATTATACAAATTGGTGTGATACTGTAGTACGTTGCAGCTGTGTGCGATGGTAAATCATAGTTCGGGGAATGGTGCGAGAATGAAGCTCCAGAAAACCAACCACAAGTAATCACGTGACACGAAGAGTATTGTCCAGGCAATAAAGCAGTCTCTCTCTCTCTCTCTCTCTCTCTCTCTCTTTCTCTCTCTATCTATATCTATCTCTCCTCTCTCATCATGCATGCGTCACACTCTCATGGAAATTTTTATTTTATTTTTTTATTTTATAAGATTGCATGCTTCACACTCTCATGTAATATTTCTTTCTTTTCTTCGTCTTTTTGTGAGAGCTTGGACAATCCACTTGTCCAGGCAAGAAGGCAGCAATGCCTGTTCATTCTGGCGAAGTAAAATAAAATATACCAACCAACCAACCAACATCATTAATTTTGTTGTTGGCTTGACAGCATGAAACAAGGCGGAGGACACTGTGTTCGGAAACAGTGACCTTACTACAACCAGCCACGGTTGGTAGAGCCCCGGTCCGTTGGGACCATCTGAACCATATGGGTGTTGAACCCGGTTCTGACCCTCATTATGCTTGGGGAGTTTTTAGACTTCTCCTAGCGTCAGTCGTGTATTCTCTAATACCTTGTTCATCTTGTACTAGTAGATCTACGTGCATAATATTCACTCCGTCCACGAAGGCATCGTACTGGCCGGGTCACACGAAGAAACACTAGCTTCGCACACCACTCCTCAGGAATTTTCTTTGTAAGTATTAGTTTGGTCACAAGTAGAACGAAATGCCTGGAGCAATATTGTGCGAAACCTTTTTAGATGCATTTCATCGTCTTTGACTAGTGTCTCAACGCATTTTTTTAGTTCTAAATCACAAAGTATTCGTGATAGATCTACATGTACTGTAAATATACAAATTTTCGGCAGCTATTTAATTTCGGCTATATTCGGCACCGACCCAAAACGCCTAAATTAAAACGCCGATGAAATTTTTCACAGCATCTGTTGCACTATACCATGCCCTCTACCCCACGCCGAAAATAAATCGCCGCCGAAATGTCACAAATTGTGAGGTGCCGAAATTTTGCAGCGCCGAAATTTTGTATATTTACAGTATGTTGATCCAGCTGGTGCTAGTGATTAGGCTTTTGACATAGTTATCATCGTAGTCTTCTCCTTTTCACTCTGAAGAAGACCAATGTGGTCTGAGCGTTAAAACCTCTTGCTCCTGCCGTGTCCTTCGCCAACCTATTGTTGCTTCAAAGAAACCATCATTTTCAGGATAGGAACGGACAAACATGTACGACTCCACAGCCAACTCTCACCCTGGGATTTGCGCATAGTGCGTTTGAGCAATGATTGTCGTTGATCATACCTCGTATCCCTGTCAGCCGCCATCAGTATTGACTATTGTGTGAACGTGCTACAGTTCTGGCCAGAGGAATTCGACCTCGTGGATATACGGCCGCGTTCGAGTGCACAGTAGATCTACCTGAGAGCAGGGTTTGTGGTGCTGGGGCTGCGTAACGCAGGGCGCGATTTCATTCACCTGGTTGGATTGCTCTGGCCTGCACGGTAGCTCGCGGGTCTGGATCGTGGCAAACATACTATGTATCGACTATCGTGCAAGGCTAGCTAATACCGCAATAGACATGTTTAGCTTTTGCCGTTCACGCTAAATCCGACGGTACTCGTACCCAGCACCCAAAATACCGCCGTTTTGGAACGAAACGGTAAGATTCCGACTAGGGTGGCGTCACAAGTCGATCGTTGAGTCAGAAACCGAAATGCTAACCATGTCTTGAAAGCACACAAAAAAACGGTACAGGCCGACGGTCGAAGTTAGCGTCAACGGTAAAATGCTAGCCAGGTCTTCGAACGTTCGGAAGAAGCAATCGCACAATTGTATGTGTATGATACTGCATAGTTCCAACGCACTGAGAGCCTGAGTTGTGCGGGGAATGTGCGTGTGATCTCTCGCAAGATCGTCATAACCTACTCAGTATGCCATACTGACTGTGGAGCTGGCACCGCGGCACCGCTTTCAACTAGGACTTCAACTCACTGCCTCGGCCGAGAAGGAGCGCCTTCCGGTTCTCTAGTTCTGTTGCCGCTCAACTGCATCCTCAGCGTCAGCCGTTTGTGATGGTGGAATCTGGGTGAATGACTCATGATCTTATGC